AGAGGCAACATAAAGTGCCCACAGACTTGACTCATATATATGTTTTTGAGCCTCCTCCCTTTACGCTCTTTGTCGTTTTGACTTTACTCAATACTGACACACTCACGCATTACAAACTACGTGCATACAAATACAAATTTATGTACAATAATAATAATACGCATAACAATCTACTGCAGTCTATTCTCTCCTGTGCTGACCTTTCTCTGTTCTGTACCCCGAGAATGTGCTCACAATGCTTAGCAACATGTTAAAGTACAAACATACTAAATAATGGAGTAATGAATACAAATAGAAACGGGAAAAATATAAATAGCGTAAAGGGTTCTTGAGTCAGTGTCTTCAATGAAGAAGAGTCTCTTATAGAATTTAAGTGAATGAATTGTTGTAATTCTTTTCATTATTGTGTCTTACTCAAGTCAGTCCAGCACAATAGTTAAAATTTAAAAAAAAAGTAGGAAGCTCTAGTCGAGGTTTTTTCTAAAGAAAATTTAAAAGTTTTAATTTATTCATATTCATGGCTTTGGAATTTGTGTCGTTCAATGAAATGTTCCGAGTTTCCTGTTCACGAGCTTGTTTTATTGCCGACAACGGTGCCCGCATTTATCAATTTGCCCGTCATAGTCAAGAAAGATTGCATGGTGAGAACACGGGAAAATTATCGGTTGCTCGAGCCACGTAACGCGGATCAACTAGTCTATAACACCAATCATTGTATGTTTGTACACATTGTTGTTTATTTTACTTTTTATCCCGATGTAAAGGTCATCTGTAAGTATTGTTTCTACATCTTAATAATGGTCGTTCAAGTACGAATCTAGCTATCATTTTAATGTTGTTGTTTAAGAATTTATTTTTAGGAACAAATATCATGACTTGTTCTTGTATTTTTAGTTAATAATTATTTTTAAAAGTTTTAGGCGTTCAAAATTATCTATGTTAATTTTTTTTTTTATAAGAGTTCTGATTTTTTGCTTTCGTTGAATTAAAATTAGTATTTAATTTAATTTACTAATAAAAAAATTAATTTGATTCAAGCAAAAAAAATGTTTATTGGTTTATGTAAATTTTACTTGATTCAAAAATTTTTCTTTTAACTAAGTAATTAAATCAAGTTGATTTTTTTTTAGTGTAAATTAATTTTAATAATAACTCAAATTTAGAATTAATTTTAATTCAAATTTAAAGTAAAACTTTCGATTTTAAATTTATTTATGTAATTCAATAAATTCCATTACTTTTATTAAATTTTATTTGAAAAACTTCAAAATATCATAAAATAAAAAATATTATTCAAATAAGAATGAAAATGAAGTTAGCCGACATTTCAAAATTTTTAGAAATTTTTTATTGAAAAAATTTCAATTAAACAATTAATAAAAAAAATTTTCACATTTAAAAAACTTGAAAAACTATAAGTGCAATTTTTTAGAAATATCTTTTTAGTTGTAATTTAATTAATAAAAAAAATCAAAAATTTTTACACGTCTTTTAACTTCAGTGTCATAAATAAGAAGATATAAAGTAAAGGTCAAGTTAATTTTTCTATCAATGTTAAATCAACTACTATTAATTTTAAATGAACATTATCATTTTGCAAAAAAAAGTGATAAAGGAACATATCAGAGTGGCTATTGCAAAAAATTGCATTTTATTTCAATAGTTCATTAATCATTAAAAACAAAAAAATATTTAGAATAACATTAAAGAATACAAAAAAAAACTTTGATAGATAATATTTTGCAATTACATAAAAATCTAATGTTTTGATAAACTTCCGATCAGAATCTGTGATAAATTTTATATAATGCTATTGCAAAATATAACACAGTGATCATATAACCACAATCTAATTATTAAAATGGAAATAAATGTCTAAATTATTGTCAATCATGTCTAACATATTTCAACGTCACTAAACTGTCGCCCATGTCAATAGCCACCGGAAATAAAAAAATCAGATAATTACTATTCAACGCACACAAATGATCTATGTAAAGATATTTTAATTTTATTACGCTAATAGACAATTTTATTGTTTCTTTTTTTATTATTATAAAATATTTATATGGACTTGAGTAGAAATACGCCTCGGAAATAGGATAATGGTGATGATAAATATAGAGTCGTCTGGTCAGTGGGTGGATTGTTATTGGAGCTGAGTCAATAAATTAAATTTAATTCAATTTTAAAAATGACCATAAATTGTGACAGAAAAAAGCAAAATTTGGGTCAGGGTAACTAGATTTATATTTATGCTTTTTTTTAAATAATAAAGAATAAAAACGAACCGGAAGTTTACATGTTACACAATGCACGACGGTTTCGTTTCACAATTTATAATCCTGGGTACTATCTAAATCTTACACACTAATGTGAGCGCACCAGAGGAATAGTTGAAAAAGCTATCTGTCAAAGACTGATCTTTAAAAAAAAAAAAAAAAAAGCTTCTCATTGCATAATTTTAATATCTCGGCAATTAAAATATGTCTGATAATATTCTTTATAGGTGAAAGTAATTAATTATAACCTTTGTAATTATCACAATAATAATTATTATTACTATTTAAAGTTTTAACAAATTGGCACTAATTTTCCCGAGTGACAAGATTAGTCACATTGAGCGTAAGTACGATGTCTCGATTCTCTGGACTGTTATTATTATTATTATTATTACATACTACACATATAACGAGAGTATGACCGAGTGACCTGGGATGATGATGAAAAAAAAAAATAAAACAAACTACAGTTATACATTACACAATTTTCTATTTATTCAAATTGCGAATTATTCAATAAGTTTTAATTTCAATAAAATTAAAGACATAAATCAGTAAAGATTATCTCGGATTCACGATAAGCTAGTACGTCAAACAAACCGAACAAAGTGAATAAAAATGAAAGAAAAACTCGAATTTTTGTAAAAAAAAGTATCGAATTACTAAAATGATAAATATACATACAAGTTATATTAACTTAATTTATATTTTCCCTTTACACCGATATAAATTACCCCTGGGAAATAAAATGTATTAAATAAACTTCTTAACATAAATGTGTTTGTACTGTTAAGTGTTTTCAGCTAAAGCTAAAGAGAAAATAATAGGTATACATACATAAAGTATAAATATAAATAAATGAAACGAAAGGTGAAATGAATATTGAAGCGTGTCGGAAAGTTTTTCTCATGCGGGTTTTTAAATACATTAACGGTAACACTAATATATAACATTCCAGTATTAGTATTATATACATATACGTATACAATACAATAATGATAATATAGTGTTAAGTCTCTAGACCAATAAACGACGCTCAATTGCTTAATTACACTACTGCTGGTAACTAGGTACTCATGGTATGGGTATGGGTTTTATAGTTTTTTTTTTCTTCTTTTTTTCCCGCGGATAGAAATGACGCAATCACTTTGGCGCGCGGCACGTTGTTAGTTCTTGTTGTTATTTTACATTCTGGGGTACTGTAGTTTACTATACCGTTGATAGTACGGCTCATACCTGTTACGCTATTATTGATAAGACCGAGACTACACGCCAAGAATTTTAAACTAATAATATATATTTAGATAGGTGAGGTTTTTTTTTATCGGAATAATGATTAGAGTTAATGATTAAACGAGAGTAAAATAACATTTTCTCATTTTTTTTTTCATTCAAATAATCAAGATCGTTGATCAATGACCGACCAAAATTTTTAATTGACAATTGAGCGTGATATTAAAGATTTCAGAGTTATTGTAAGGCTCATCATTATTAATTTTATTATTATTATTATTATTTTTTCTTAAAAAAAAGCAACGAGCATTTTTTTAAAATTATTATTAGGGGCTATGATAATTATTCTTTCTTTTGTAGACACAAGATACGCTGATGTACGCTATTGTAGTGATGTGAAGAGCAGTAATAAACCAACCAATGATCCATCATCCGTCAACCGCTAACCCACCGATCCGTTCGATTCCTTTCCATGGTAATTCACACCGTTCATCCAGCCGGCAAATTGTAGGTGTATGAGGCTCGTATCGATATGATGCTATGCTGAATATAATATCGAGTTATAGACGGTTCATGTTTGGACGAACGCTGTATATCCATAATTCAGCACATGCCTCGTGTACTGAGTAATAAAGCCCCCGAAAAATTTTTTTACTAGAATAATATGTTATTCAGCGGTAGTTCACGCCTCATCGAATCACGATTGAAGTATTGAGGATAATACTGGTATTTATACTCCCTCGATCCAAATGAAAGTCCATTTTAAATCCCCCTGTCTTTAAATATTAACTTAAACACATTATATAGTCCCACCGGTGTAATACAAAGGTGTAAAGCCTTCATTCAACTTGTATCAACAGGTGTCGCGGAGAAAAAATACAGTAAATTACCGGAAAAAAAATAATTAAACTGTGAAATTTCTGTTTAGGCTTTAGGGTTGAGAAGACAAGTGTTTTTTTTTTTTGTTGATCTTTTAATTGTTTTTTTTTTTTATGATTAATTAATTTACGATTTAGGATTTTTTTATGCTTTTTTTTTTAAAAAGAATAAAAATTTTCAAGACAAAATAATTTTTTGTTGAAAGAATAGACCTGTAATTTTAAATTTTGGAGATTAAAGGAAGGTATACTTAGTATAATTGGTCACGTTTTTACTCCGAATTCAACTAAATTATTTGTTGAAAAATTACCCTACACGTTTTGAAAGAAAAATTTTTTTACATTACAAAAGTAACAGATAACTGTATAAAAGATTTGTAATTTAGTTTAAAAATTCTACACTAAAAAAAAATTAACTTGATTTAAGAGAAAAATTTTTGAACCAAAAATGTAATTTTGAAGAGGGTAATTGTCTTGAATTAAGATGAAACATTATTGAATCAAGTGAAATTTCCTAAAATCAAGAATTTTTCTACTCAAATCAAGAATATTTTTTTTTTTTTTTTAATTTGTTTAAAGTCGCATAAACTACTAAGGTCATGAGCGACTACGGTAGGGGGTAAACTTTTGAGATTAGAACTCGTTTTATTTCTTGGGGTGAGAAGAATAATACACTTAAATATTGAAAATATTCATTGGTGTACGCCGGACTCGAACCCGGTCCAATACTTTGGTAAGCAAGGGCCGGATCCGATAGGCTACTGGGCGCCTCTATAATAAATTATAAAATTTTTTAATCAAAATTATCTTAAAAAATCCAAAAAATAATGAAGTAAATTTATAAAAAATTAAATCTTCAAAAAGTTACTTGAATTTTTTTCCTCTTTGAAATTTAGAACCAAAATTTTACCTTAAAGTCAAAATTTTTCAATCAAATTATTGAAAAGACGTCAACTTCATAAAAAAAATTGATATTTATTACAAAAAATATGAATAATAAGCCATAAATCACAGTTTTAAAGATTTGAAAAAAAAACCTTCCAAGAATACAAAGAATTGCGACACATTAATAAAAATAAGAAATGTGTAGCAAAAGTGAAATGCGTGTCAAGTATAAAAAAGAGGTTATTATACGGATTTTAAAATGGAACACCCACATTTAAAATCATCGTGAGGAAGTCCGTCGAGGTTCGGAGTAGCAGCAGCAGTAATATATAATATAATATAACACATAACAGTAGAAGAGTGCGGCAAAGATTCTTTACGTTTTAATGCAAACGGTCGAGAGAATCGTGCCAGGAATTCTCGAACATACAAGCTGAACAAGTATAACAAACACAGGGAAAGGAATCGTCCAGCGTGTACACGTATAGAGCGAACTAAACGGCGAGCAGTTGTGTGCAGGCTGGTTGGTTTGTTCCTACCGGCCATCTGTCCAGAGCCAGAGTGGATGAGACTCAAACGTAAACGCACGCGGTTTTCATTCTACCTGGCAATACTATAACACTACTCTTCTCATTCTGCTTCACCTGGTTCCTCTCCTCCCTCGCCGGTAGTCTTTTTCACTGACACACTCTTACTTATTTTCTCCAGAACCAATACCAGCTTATATTCTCAATTCTGAAACTCTTGAGCTTCAGCTTTGGCTTAACCATCCATAATGAGAGTATTCACGGACCAGCTACTGACTACAATCGTACGCACCGCCAATATGTATTACCACTGTGCAGTGTGTTGACCAGCGCGTGTTCTTCTTGCTACTACACTGATGTACAACCGGACCATCACTACCATTACTGATCTCTTCCTTCAGATTCACCTTTTTTCTCAAAAGATCTTACTTTTAAACCAGACACTAATGCGCTCTTTTTTGTCTTTGCTTTTTTTCCTTATAATTTTATTTAACTGCAATTATATTTATTTTTTTTTAATGAATAATAATAATAATAATAATAATAAACCTGGACAGATACCATCTGGCAGTTGAAAAGTTTTTTCCAATTTAAAAAAAAAAAGTAATAAATTAATAAATAAGTATCCATTTAATTTAAAATGATTATCAATTCAATAATTTTGATTTACATTTCAAGACTAACTTTTAATTGAATTATTATTTTTATTTTTTCTACAGCTGTTACTCTAAAGAAAGAAAAGATTTATTTAAATGAAGAATAATATAAAACCTTTTATCCACAAATTTTATAGAATTTAATCTATAAGTGACTAAATTATCGAGTATTCATCTTGTAAAGATTTTGTAATTTTGGAGTATACAAGTTTTTTTAAAGTTTCATAGCAACCAGAAGATTTATGCTAACTAAAGTTACCCTAGCGTGAAATGAAGTTCATTTTTCTTATTTAAATTGGAAATTTAAAAAAACTGATGTATTATTCACAATCTTTTCAAAGATAAAGAAAGCCTTTCAGTATTTTCTTTCAATTTTCAAGGAAGAATTGTTTCAAAGCATTGAAAATATATGTTAAATGATGTAATCTAAAGCTATCAATTTTTAGTTTGTAATTTAGATGGATATAAGAATGAACTTAAAGTAAAAATTATTTAGTTCACTGATAGAAGGATTTGTTTATAGCTTAAAATACTTGTTAATTTTTAGTTTGTAATTTAGATGGATATAAGAATGAACTTAAAGTAAAAATTATTTAGTTCACTGATAGAAGGATTTGTTTATAGCTTAAAATACTTGTTAATATTTAACAAATAATTTATTAGAGACCACTTTTTAGTCCTTAACAAATATTTCTTAGTATTTAAAAAGATTTAATAAATGAATATCAGATTTATTAAATACAAAAAAATCATTTTAAATACTAAGAAATATTTGTTTAATACTAAAAAGTGGCCTCTAATAAATAATTTGTTAATACAAATAAATCCTTCTATCAGTGTTGCATCATACCACATTCTGCAAAACATAAAATTTATTTTCTATATCTATAGAGAGAATATCTATAGCAAAATAGCTATTTTAAGATCTAGGAAGCTTCCTGTAAATATGTAAAATAATTTAATAATTTATTTGCCGGTAATATTTATTCGGTCTATCCTCCGAAAATATAAATTTATTTATAACGCTAAAAAATTTAGTGTATTTATTTTATCGGATTTTGAACTTCGGCGTGTCTTTGATCTTGAAAGATATCTTATAAAAAAAAAATTTAAATATAATCTTTGTATTTTATGATACAGAATCTCTGATAGAGTGAATTTCAATAAAAAGATGGTGATTAAATTCTGAGGAAGAAAAATTATTGATACGGTAATTTAATTATGATAATTATGATCCCTCGAGATGAAGCTAATTAATTAGATGAACTTGAAGCCCATGGATAATGGACAAAAGGATTGTCGCCGCCCATTTTGTTCAATACCCAGTTGATGTTAAATAAAGATTAGAGTAACAACAAAAAATTATAATCCAGCACTCCATATATTAAAGGATTAACCGTGGAGTAAGATAGTACTTTATCCGCCCATTATCCGTACACGAGCTTTTCTCCGATGGTTAATTACAGTTCACAACATAATGTAATGTTACATAGTAATATAAATATATAAATACATGTAAGTAACTTTAAGTTAAGTAAAAGGTCATTGGACGTTTATGAAAAAACATAAAACCCGACAGTAAAAATAAAATAAAAATAATAATTATGTACTTGTACTGATGTACGCGATGAAATTCACGGACTCTCTAACTTATGTCATAAACGATTCAATTGTCGTGGAAAATTGAATTAAATCGTGTGTGATATATATTTTTAACCGGATAACACACTGTGTACACTACTTACATGTATTTACATTGAAATCGATGGGCTATAAAGATAACAAAGATTACCATTTTTATCGCTACATACTACGTACGGATACGTATATATGACAAGTTAAGCTAAGTCAGGGTAACTGGTGACCCTTGTATATTTATATTTTGATCTTTTAGAAACGGATATACATACATATTGTCAGAAATAAAAAAAAAAATTAACTGTTGAGGCAGGAAATGTCTTGGCAACTTCTTCTATCTAGTTCAAATAATTCGATACGGAACTCAGGTTCCCAAATTTATTTTTCTGTCTTAAACTTATTAAAGATTTCATGATACTGAAAGTAAGAGACATTTCTTCATTTTTTAATTTTGTTTGACAAATAAATTAGTTATAGAAAATTAGAAAAATTGCTTTTGGAGTTTTTTGCAATTTTTTTTGGTGAAATTTTATGGAAATAAAGTTAGCAGACTTGTAACAATTTTTTTATATTCAACACAATTTATTACAAAAAAAATTCCTCAAGTAGAAAATTTGAAAACTAATGAGTGCAATTTTTTAAAAATATTTTTTTAGCTCTAATTTAATATATGAAAAAAAAAGTTAGTCTGCTAATTTTAGTTTCATGTGGAATTTTTTTTATGTAAATTAAGTTAGCCGACATTTAAAAATTTTTATAATTTTTTTTTATTGAAAAAATCATTACAAAAAAATAAAAAAAAAATTGCACGTCTAAAAAACTTCAAGTGCAATTTTAAAAAAAATTTTTTTGTTCTAATTTGAGTATTAAAAAAATATCAAAAAATTTAGAACGTCGACTAACTTTAATGACATTTATTTTTATTGAAAAAATTATTACAAAAAAATTTTTAAAAAATGTTACTTGTAAAAAACTTCAAAAACTGTAAGTGAAATTTTTAAAAAATATTTTTTTGTTTTAATTTAATTATTAAAAAAAAAAAAATCAAATAATTAAAAACGTCGGCTAACTTAGTGTCATATTTTTTTTTTCTTAATATTTCTAAAAATTCTAAAATTGATCTAATGTCTCTCAATTAAAGTACCATAAAATAAAAAATAAATAAACCTTACCTTGACAGACAAGAAGAAGAGCCAAAAAAGCAGCAATCCTCGTAGAATACATTTTTGTAAATGTTTTTTAAAAACAAAAACAAATAGTCTCTGAAGAGATAAAAATAAAACTTGAAGATTAATTAAAATCTATTTATTTTTAATAAACACCTGCACCACAGATTACTCTTGTTGAATTTCAATAAATCACCACGACTACGCGCCGGACGGATTAATTACGTACAACTGTCAATTAAATACCGGAGGGATTGAACCCCGAGAAGAAATTTAAATAAAAAAAATTATTTTATTTACTAATAAAATTTATTTTTTTTGTTTTTAAATTACCAAGCCGTTATAGTGAAGATACACGATTATGATCACGACTGATTAGAGGTAGGACTTAATACAAACTGAGAGACGCGAACGGTATAACCCCACAGAGCCGAAGAAATCGCGCCTTCGGCTTTACTTTTTACAGGGACCTGCGCACAACCCGGTGCGCGCTATGTACCCGCGTATGCCACCCACACTCTCACTTTAAATTATAATAACTATTTATTACATATTATTAATTCACTTTTTATAGAGAACAGCAGTCATTATTATCGTCTCTAATGGTGTGCATTGATTTTTCTTCATTACTTTCACTTGTCTCATTATAAGGAAGACAAGCCATTGATATTGTTTTATGATTCATGTTTTGGAGTAATTAATAATAATAATAATTATTATTATTATTATTATGCAGTTGATTAATCGAAAAATCACATTTATTTATGTTGGTGTGAATCACTAACTGAAATTTCTGCAATACTTTGTCATTGTCATAACTAACGCGTCACTTCCTAGAATTTCTATTTCATTATTTATAAATTTATAAATATTTATGTTATATACGTACATTTTTTAATCTAACAGTATGTAAAAAACAAGATAACATTGTTGTTAGATTATTTGGTTTTGATAAGAAAGTATGTTTGACGCCAGGTGAATTTTTCAGCTTCTTCTTCGCTTATCATTTTTTTTGATAATGAACACAACTGAATTCTTTGTTAATTATTCTATCACGCAGCTTTGTTTAATGATCAAATCATTTTTTTTTTATTAGAATTTTGCAGCATTATTTTTATTTTGCTACTTATACAATGTATAAGTAAATGAGTAAATGTGGTGTATAGTTACGATAAAACGATAACAAAGTAATTCACACACTGACATAAAGAGTGAGTAATTATTCCCGCGCAGTTTCCCCTTAAAATGACAGTCGGTAATTTATAAATCTTCAGAAATTATAGTATTGAGTTTAATACGTAGGGGTCAGCATCAGTCTAAGAATTTGTTTGCTTCGAATACGTAAAAAAATTTATGAAAATTAATTTAGCAAATATTTTATAATTTTAAAAATTTTTTTAACAATTAAATTATGTCAAAGAAAATGAAAAAAAAATTGACATTTAGAAAATGAAATAAATAAAAAATGCAATTTTTTAGAAATAATTTTTCGGAGCAAATTTATTTATTAAATAAATTTAAAAAATTATCAAGTGAGTGCTAACTTTAATGTCATAAAAAATTTAAGATTTTTCTATTTGGAAAAAAAATAAATAATAGATTGAGGAGCTAAAAAATAGGCTTCTAAAAATTTTATGATATTAAAATTAGTAACCATCTGACAATTCTTAGAATTTTTATTACAAATCAATGATTAAAAAAAAAATATTTTGAAAAATTTATTGAACTTTTATAATTTTATAAAATTTCTATATGTGGAGTTTTTTTCATTTAATAATAATTGTTAAAAAATCTAAAAAATTGAATCATTAAATTTTTTTTATCTAATTACCTATCAAGAAGAATCATTTTTTAAATTACTATAAATTAATCTAGTAATCTATTATAAATTATGAACCATATGTTTTTAAGTTAATTTATTCCAATATATCTTAATTATAATTAAATTAACATAAAATTAATTGAAGATCACTTTATAATAAAAGTTATACTATTTACAAATTTATACATAATAAATTATAAATTTATAAATAAATAAATATTTAAATATCAATTTATAAACTATATATAGTTATAAATTTTTTCTTTATCATACAAGCAAATTTTTGGATCATTACGAAGAGGATACCACAATTTTCTACAGATGGCGATATGGATTTTGTCTTTTCTGTAAAATGTTAAGTTTTTATTGTTTTTATTTATACAAAAAGGAGGTAAATCAAAAAATTCGAATTGACTATAAAAATTTTCTATAAGTTTTAAGCTGTCAAATAATTATATACTTACAAACGTGTTTATTGTGTAATAATTATTCCTAAAAAGCCATGGAAAATGAAAAAGCATCATTGGATCCTCGTGTCACTGTGAATTTGGTTATGCACAACTATACAACAAGTGTAAACAAAAACAAAGCCATTGAATTAAGTAATTACTTTAGTTCTTTGTTATCTGGTAATTTTTCTGATCACAATCTCAAGGAACACCAAATAAATTATGACATTTCCATTAAAATATTTAAGGTTCGTGATTAAATAATCATCAATAGTATTAATTATTATTTCAATTAAATAATTTTTTTAATTATATTAAATTATTTTACAGACTTACATCGATTGGATCGAGAATGCACAGTCAGAAAATTATCCAACTATTTATTCGGAGCCTGAAAAAAGTTTGAAAAATGTAGCCGATGACTACTACGGTTTATTGGAACTATTAATGACGAGCATAATTTTCATGAGCGAACAATTAACTTGTCAACTAAGTCGAATAATAATAACAAGATGGCTTGATCCTGACAAGTCTCTTGACATCTGGAACTTTGCTCAAGACCACGGCTTGTGTACTTTGAAAGACGTCGCCTTTGAAGTTTGCCTAGACAGATTTTCTGAACTTCCTTACTTAAAATTGATGATGCTGCCAACTGATAAATTCATTGAATTAGTAACAAATTCTTATATCAATGACAATACATATCGCCGTCAATCATTGATTTTAGATTTTTTGAAGTTGAATGATGATTGTATTAATCCTGATCATAAATTTGTCCTTCAAGTATAAAATAAGAATTATCGGTAATCATTTACAAGTTTTGCACGCCTCATAAGCAAAGCGTTGAAGTAGTGCTCTACTCTCGACATTTCAAAAAAAGCAGTTTTCTCGAAACTGAAATTGATTTTTTTATATTTACATTGCACTTACAGGTTAATATAAGTGTACTAATATGAAATCAAATAATTTGTCAGGCACATAAAATATATTTCAATAACAATTATTTTGTTTAACATAGTAAATAATAAAATTAAAAATAATCTTTTTTGGACGTCCGTGTGTCTGTGCTTATAGATTGGTGTATGTGGCAGGGAAATTGGTCGAAAAAATGATTGTACCGGAATAATTGTTTTTTTATTATCTAAAATAACACACGACATACTTTTTCAATTAATATGAGCGTTCAATTCACTGTCGTTAAATTATTGTTTATAAAAAACTAATATATGAATGTGTATTTTTTTGTATATCTATCTATACATTTTATTATCCTATTTTTTTTCCCTTACTTTAGAATTATGGCGCCACTAAACCATAGCAGAGTTTTCTGTTTTTTATTATTTTACTTTTTATATTTTATTTTAATCAATTTTATTGTGAAAAATAAGATTATAAGGTGTGCACTTTTGGATTTTCTAAACTTTTTTTTAATTTTGCTTATTTTTACGGCGAGAAAAAATTTAGAAAAAATAAAGATTTCAATAGCTTTTTTGCCTTTAAAAGTTGGAAAAAATATTGGCTTTCATGATTTTGAATACAATTTCTATTTTATCTTTTTTTTTGGAAAATAAATAAAAAAAAACGAACAATTTTTTTTTTTTTTTTTAATTTGTTTAAAGTCGCATAAACTACTAAGGTCATGAGCGACTACGGTAGGGGGTACACTTTTGAGATTGGAACTCGTTTGTATTTTTTGGGCTGAGCAGAATAATATACACTTAAATATTGAAAATATTCATTGCTGTACGCCGGATTCGAACCCGGTCCAATGCTTTGGTAGCAAGGGCCGGATCCGATAGGCTACTGCGCGCCTATACGAACAATTAAAAAAAAAAAATTGTTCAATTTGATAAAAAAAAAAAAAAAAAATCTATGGCCAATCATAGGGCAAAATGAGGTTGACCCCACTTGTAAATAATTACCGAATTATCATTACTATTAGTTATAACAAAATATTAATATTAATAATTAAAGATTGCAGATTTGAACACAATACCTAAGCCAAACTCGCAATGCTTTGTCACTTATAAGTTAAACGACACAGAAAAAAAACAGTACTGTGTTTATTGTCTGAATGATCGTGAGCTCGTGGAACTTGTTGACTTCGAGCCAATGTTTAAGTATTTAGACGGTGGATACGAAGTTGTGGGTCGTAGAATTGTTGGCAGAAGTAAGTTTCACATGGACTTATTATTTTTTTTTATTGATATTTTAAGTATTTTTCTGTATTAAGGATTCAGTATTTATATGATTGGTGGTGAGAAAGGACTAGGAACTGGACGATTCATTAAATCTATCTGGCGTTATTGTTTGATTTCACGTACTTGGTATTACGTGACTGAGTAAGTTAATTAAAATGAGCTAATTTTTAATCAAGTTTATCTATAATTAAAAATTGTGTTTATTTACAGATTGTGCACTCCACGGCGACACATGATTGCAGAATTTTTAGACCAAAATCTTTATTTGATGGGCGGAGTTGGAAATTTTAGAGTAAAACTTTCATCAGTAGCTATTTTGAATGTTCATACTAGTATGTTTGATGAATTTTCAACTCATCCTTGATTAAAAATATTTATTTGATAAAAAAAAATTGATAAATTTTCAGATGAGTGGCATGAAGGTGAAAAAATTCCTGAAGTATTTACTGAAATACCTCCCTCATGTGTATCGGCCGGGCGAATCATTTATTATTCAACAAAATTTTACGTGTTCAATCAGGAAAAGAACGGTTGGAAGATGATTCCTTCATATAATTCTGAACCATGTTATGCGCTGACTGGTGATCCTGTTTCACCAGAAGTTTACAGTTTTTACAGTTCTTATCAACCATCTTGTAAGTAGATTTTATGGTTCAATTCATTCATACATGTTGTGATTTATACAGTGAACCTTCACAAGTTCTAACTGATCAGTCACTCTGTGTGAGTTTAAATGATTTTTTTTAAAATTCAATTTAACTGTTTTTTAGTAAATTCTTCATATCCCAATGATGAGATTATCAAGATACAGTATTCCTCATTGGCATTTAATTATCAACCAAATGCTAAGAATGATCATACAAAAATATTTTATGAAAAACGGGAATGTTCCAGACATATTTTTAATAAACCATTATTGGTAAGTTTTCGTTGTACAGATGATAAAATCTTCATTGAAAAAAGGAAAATAGATGTCGATCCGAAGGACATAAATTTCAAAGTTATTGATAGTTTTTATCAGCAAGTTGATAACATAAATACGTCATTGTTTAGTTACCAACTTGGGTGCTTTAATATTATCAATCCTGATACTTTGTACAATTAAATGTAAATGAATAAATTTTGTTTTTATTTTTCTACAATTTGAAATAATTTAATAAATATTTTTTAATAAAAATAATTAAAAGGATAAGGTAATAATAATAATAAGTCATACTTATATTTTTATCTTTCATAAATCATGAATTTTATTTCGTACGTTTTATTTCAATAAATTTTTTAATTTATAACGGAAGCAGTCTTAAAACAAAATTAACACGATAGTTTTATTTCGTTATTATGATTACATTGGAATAAAAATAAATATAATAATATATCGTAAAACTTGAAATTAATTACAGATAATTTAAAATTGTGGGAGAGATAATTTATATATTTTGTTTATTTATGAATGATATTTACAAGATTTAAGATGTTATTTTTATTGAGGATGCTGGTCTTGTAAATAATACTCATAATTTAGTCTGTAACTAATCTCAAGTATTGACAATATCAATTACAATAATTATAATAATAAATAATAATTTTTTTTGATAATCGTGCATTAACAAATTGGCATAAATAATAATTAGCGTGCAAAAATGAATCTGCTATCCGATTATTAATGCATTATGACAAACACACAGAAAGAAAACTTTTTGTTTTTGTAATAATTAATAAGTAATAATAATTATAATAATAGTAAATAATAGTAATAAATAAATAAATGATTATCTTAATATTTTATACATGAAATTAAATGATTAACGCACATGACGTAAATTAATTTAATTATACATTCACTTTTTTCAGTTTCTTTAGTAATTTCTTTTTTTGTAAAATCAATTAATGTTTATCAAAATTAATCGCGTCTATTATTTTATATTTATCTTTGATTTTATTTTTTTTTTTAAATGAGATGAAAAAAAATAAATAAATAAATAAAAGTGTCAGCGACACTCACTGATCATGAGGATTAGTGACATTTAATGCAAACGCTGATATTGTTTCGCCTTTTTTGCCAATCGCTCGCGCGGCATACTGACCAATATCACCAGCTGTACATGATTTAATACGTATTTCGAAGGATTTGTCGCCGTCTGAACTAAATAGATATCTGCTACTAGATTCATCGATTGGTTTACCATCTTTCAGCCACGTTACTGTAAATTAAAATAATTATTACATGAGTATCTCTAGTGCAGTAAACTTTTTATTTTTAAATGCCTAATAGAGGCTATATTAAATTCCTTTTAATTCTTTTAATTTTTATTAACAAGTGCTTTAAAAGCTAATTTCCTGAATGTTCAATTTAATGTAACTTAATTTAAAATATTAAAAAAAAAAAAATTTTTAATTTACAATAGTAGTAAAAAGTGATATTAATAATTAACATGAAATAATTAAGTAACAAGTGGTGTTAGAACCAGAGCTTTAATTATTTAATAAGATGCAGATTGATATAATATATGACCCTGTGATGAAAAATTGTAAAAAGCAGTTTTTACTATTGTACAATGCTAAATAAATCTATCTATCTATTACATGTAATGAGTATCACTCGTTACTCTCCACAGTTATTTAATCAATGGAACAATATTTTTTATAATTATAATTTTAATCTAAATTTAAATTTTAATATAAATTTATTAAAAAAAGCAATTTAAAATAATTAAAAATTATTTTTAGGATTTTCTTTATTGAAAAAGTTATTAAAAAAAAAAAAAAATCACATGTAATAATTTGAAAAATTATAAGTGCAATTTATTAAAAATATTTTTTTAATTTTAATTTAATTAATGAAAAAAATTTTTAAACGCCTGTTAATTTCAGTATCATGAAGTTTTATTGTATTGAATTAAGATAAAAAATTCTTTAACTGAGAAATTAATTTCAATCCAAAAAATTTTTATTTAATTCAAGAACTTTTCTTTTTGATTCCAGAATATTAAATTCTTCAAAAAAAAAAAAAAAAAAAAAAAAAAAAAAAAAATGATATTCTTAGCTTAAGATTTTTTTTCTCGACTCGCAAATTTTTTTATCAGTCTATTTTTAAGCTTCAACTTTTACATTGAATAACATTAATAAAATTAATCAATAGTAATTAAATAATTACCCTTGAGTGGTGCAGTTTCAGTCCGGCAGGCAAAGTTTACTGATTCACCTTCGTTTACTGTTGCCGACTCTGGGAATGTCGCGAACACTGGGCTCTTTGGTTCCTCATTAGGAACTGAAATTAATAATTTTAATAGTTTAGAACCTAACAATAAATAATAAATAAAAATAATTAAAATCAAATATGGAAAAAAAAATTACCAAGAACATTGAGTGTACATGAAGAAAAGCTTTCACCGGCGTCGTTGAATGCCTCGCACGTGTAAGTGCCTGAATCCTCGGGGAAAATTTCCGCTATAGTAAGTTTGTAAATATTGGCTTCATTCGAGTAGTTGAAGTCTTTGCTGGGTTTAATTTCTTTGTTATTGTGGAGCCAGACAACATCGAATTTCTTAGCGCCAATTATTCGGCAGCTCAGTACCACCGCTTCGCCGTCTTTGACGTAGGCACTCTTGAGATGGTCGACTATCTTCGGTGGTTTGTCATCGCCTGATTTTTTGCCACTTGCATTCGTCATTGCTAATCATAAAAAATAAATATTTAATATTTAATTAAATTTCAAATTTCAATAAAAAATAAATATTTAAGTAAAGAGATGTTACTCACGTTTGACAGTTAATTTACATGATGTGCTTGCTGCACCCATACTGTTGGTAGCTTTACACGTGTATTCTCCCTCGTCTTCTGGGAAGACTTCGTTTATTACAAGAGTTGCTACTCGGCTCTTGTATTTAAGGTCTACTACTTCTGACGATCTCAAAGTCTTTCCGTTCTTAGTCCATGTGATTTGGGGTTCTGGATCACCGTCTACTTTAACACTCAGTTCCAATGGCTCGCCGTCGTTTACTTTAAGATCTTTAAGTTTTGTTACAAACTCTGGTTGTCGCATTGAATCATCTGATGGGTCTATTGAATTAAAAAAAATATAAATTATATTAATATTTTAATAAAATAATGCTCTAGTTTAATAATTTAAGGCAAATTAGAAAAAAAGGCAAAATAAAATGATTTTTAAAATGAGAGACATTTGATAATTTTTTAATTTTATAAAAAATAAATTGTGATAATAAAAAAATATTAATACAAAATTCCATGTGTAGAAATTGTAAAAAATAAATGAAATTTTTTAAAAATTGTTCTATAATTAATTTTTTTGTTAAATAAAATCTAGGTAAATATTTACAAGTGGGGTCAACTATTTTAATTTTCATTTTTTTGAACGAAATTTTTATTTGATTTTATTGATATATATATATATTTTTTTTAAATACATACATTAAAAAATGAACAATTAAAAAAAAATTGATTATCACAATTTTAACAAATTTTCGAAAAAATTTATAAGTTTTTTAAAAAATTGTGATATTTAACTTATTTTTTTTTTTTTAATTGTTCGTTTTTTATGTACTTTTCAAAAAAAAATATATCCAAAAAAGATAAAATAGAAATTTAATCCAATAATATGAAAGCCAACAGTTTTTTCAACTTTTAAAGGTAAAAAAGCTATTAAAATTTTTTTTTTTTCTTCGACGACACTTTTTATTATAAATGCACCGTAAAAACAAGTAGAATAAAAAAAAATAAATAAAAAATGATAATTTTCCACTTAGATATCGCCAAAAATAGGGTGGACTCTACTTGTAAATAATTATCAAAATCTAAATATGGTGGAATATCTACTAATTTCAGTGTCATAAAATTAATATTTCTGAATATCTTACATAAAAGTTCTTTAGTTGCATTCCTAGACCTCGACGGGCTTCCAGTTGAATCTAATTTCGAGCCGTATTTCTTGAAACTCGAAGAGTCAGTCGTCGTCTGAAATAGTACCATAAAAATTATAAATTTTTATAAATTTAATATATTTATTTTAAATAAATAAAAATCATACTCTGGAGAATGATGAGTTTTTGTTTGAACTTGCGTAGCTGCTAAACTGTTGTTTGATAACAACTTGTGCCGGTGCTGGTTTTATTGGCTGCTCAATGAATTTACGGTCTAAAAAAATAATTAAATATTTAATAAACTCATAAATTATAACTTTAATGATTTAATAAAATAGTCGTAAAAAATTAGAATACCTGCTGAGTGCAAGATATTATCAGCTAATTTTTCTTGTTCTTCAGTCTCACCCATTCCTAGAATGAAGTTATTTAAATGATTAATCAGAAATAAAATATTGTTATTAATAAAAAGTAAAATTTTTACCTTCTACAATGACAACACAACTAGTTTCATCACTTCCATGGCAGTTAGTGGCCACACACTTGTACTTTCCACTGTCCGATGGTCTGCAGTCAATGATTTCCATAGTGACGACACCATCGGAATGAGACATCGCGTACTCGTGTTTCGACAATTCCCGACTGTCTCTGAACCACCTGACGGATGGAGGAGGTTTACCGCTGAGACAACAGAGCAGTTTGCAGCACTGTCGTTCCTGCATGACACGAGGTCTGAGCTCGAAGGTGAAGCTGGGTGCTGATTCTGTTGTCTCAAGCCAGAAGTACTGTGGTAATGGTTCGCGTCTACGTACTGGAGCGATGTCCGGTTTGTATGGTGGCATTTCTCTTGGAAGAGCTGTAATTAATTAATTAATTAATTAAAATATTATGCGATTTATTAAATTGTTTTTTGCTTCAATTGAGTAAAGAATGTTAGAAATTAGAAAATTTATTGAATTTCTGACTATAAAAATTTAAAATAAAAAAAAAAAATTAACTCTTGGGGCGCTAAAATTTATAAAAATTTATCTTAATTCAAAAATTTTTCAGATTTTTCAGAAAGTCAGAAAATAATTTTTTCAGTAAATTTTAACATGTTCAATCTATATTATTAAGAAAATAAGAAAAATTTTGTCTTCAGAATAGTCATATGATAAAATCGATTTTTTTTAGTGAAATTTAGTGTCATTGCAAAGGTCTTGACTTGAATTTGTGCTTTTTCAAGGTTTCATATTATTTTTACCGATAGTCAATTTATTATAAGTATTTAGGCAGCATTCGAAAATACTCTATTTTTAAATACATAATTAAGAAATGACCTTGGATCTTGTGAACTATTGACATTTTTAAAGATATAAGCTCACCCCAACATTACACTCATCGAGACCTTTCATTTGAGTACCCACATCAATTTTTCATATATTTTATATATATTATATATATGTATATATGAAAAATACATGAAAATGCATGTGGGTACTCAAATGAAAGCTCTTCATGAGTGTAACATCGTGATGAGCTTATATCTTTAAAATATATATTACATATATATGTATATATGAAAAATATATCAAAATGCATGTGGGTACTCAAATGAAAGCTCTTGATGAGTGTAACATCGGGATGAGCTTATATCTTTAAAAATGTCAATAGTTAAGAAAGTACAGTGCAATTTAACAAAAGTTATTATTGAATAAAGCAAAATTTTATGTATTTATAGTTCCCAAGTCGCGACGATCACATAGTGACTGCAAGGTTGCTACTATTCATGATTTGATTAGAGTTAAAATAAATTTTTTTATCCTCCCTTTTAATTCTACAGCGTAAAATTTGAATTACATCTTCTTTGGGTTCACGTTATTAATTAATTAAATAAAAAAAAAAGAAAACTTACGTTGGACATTAAGGAAGACAACTTCTTCCCGGTATCCATAGTGATTTTCAGCCCGAATAACATACTCTCCTCTGTCCTCCAACTTGGATCTGTTGATGATGAAGGTGTAATCATCACCGACGTATCTCTTCATAAATTTAACAGACTGTCTAAGTTCCTGGTTATTGTGGAACCACGTGAGAGTTGGAGCAGCAATAGCTATCACACGACACGTGAATTTGACACTCTGTCCTTCATAAGTAAACGCACTTTGTGGCTTGATAACAAATCTTGGAGCTGCTTGTCTTCGATCTTAAATAAAAAATTCCCTAATTACTATCTCAACTCAACATTAATCATAAAATAAAAAATAAAAAAAAACTTACCGAAAGACGAGTCATAAATCTTGTATTTCTCAATAAGTAATTTCCTAAGCGACGAGTATTCCGCAAGTCGTCCAATAGGTAGAACGTATTTCTCCCAGTCATCATACTTGGCCCTAATTCTATCCCTGAACCTGATGTACTTGCTGCCAGCAATTCTGCCAGTAAGATCGCTGTGGTCTCCGGTCAACCACGAGTGTACTAGACACTCATGAGCAGTCATACGTTTTTCCTTGTTCTTGATCAGCAGTCTGCGGATAAAGTCTTTACCCTCGTCAGAAACATGCCTGAAGGCCTCCTCGTCAAAGTCCCAGTCGCAAGCCTTGACATTCTTAAGCGTCTCAATGTCATTGTCTCCAGCAAAAGGCGAAAGACCACTGAGCAGAACGTAAGCCAGGACTCCGCAAGCCCACATGTCTGTGTAGAACCCAACAGGTTCCCGCTCTACAATTTCAGGCGCTGCGAATTCCGCAGTTCCTGTGCTGATCTTGACCACTTCATTAGGATCTAATTTAGTAGCTAAGCCAAAGTCAATCAGCTTAACATTGGTGCTGTTTCTCATTTGGCACATGATATTCTCCGGCTTGATATCCAAGTGGATGATGTTCTTCTCATGCATGTGCTTGATACCCTCGCAGATCTGTCTCATGTAATTAATAACTTCAGCTTCCGACATGATGTAGCCTTCAGCAGTGATTCGCTCGAACAATTCTCCACCTGACAAAAACTCGAATATCAAAATCATTTCATCGTCATCTTCAAATGCATCGTGTAAGTTTATTAACTTCTGGTGGTGCAGCTGGTTCATAATATCTATCTCCTTCCTGATCAGCTCCTTCTCCATAATATGCGACACTGGGATAAATTTAGCCGCGAATATATTTCCAGTAGCGCGTTCACGACACCGATGAACGACTCCGAATGCTCCGGTACCAATTTCTTCAAGAATATCATATCTGTCGTAGACTGACATGGTTTTAATTTCAACAGGCTGGGGCACGTACTTGCTGTAGATGTCAAAGACAAACTGATCATAGTCGCGAACTTTTTCATCGCTGCTTCCGCGGATCTTCTTGCCGCTTTCATCATACCGGACTTCGCGTTTTTCCGGCGCCTTCTTTTTAGCACCCTTGGTCGTGATCAGCGGTGTGACTTCACTGGGGTCAGATCTTCCGTATACATTTTCAGCACACACACGGAAGTCATACTGATGACCAGGACTCAAATCTTGAACAGCGAAGCTGGTGAATCGCGTCATACCACACCTGATCCAGCTGGTCATCGGAGCTTCCCGTTTTTCAACCACGTAGTTGGTGATGTTGCTACCACCGTCCCACAGTGGAGGCTTCCAAGTAAGTGCCAATGAATCGTGACCAATGTTATCAATAACTGGGAAGCGTGGTGGGTCTGGACGATCGCTAATTTGAATCTTAATGATAGCTGAGTCTTGTCCCAGTTCATTTTCAGCTGTAATTCTGTACGGTCCAGAATCAATGCGGTTTCCGTCTCTGATAGTCAAGATCGCGTGTCGTTCTTTAAGCTCGACGTTGTAGTGACCTCCAGACTCAATAGTTTCACCTTCGCGAATCCAGTGGATCTTGGGCTTGGGGAATCCAGTGAAAGGAATTTTAATCACGACATTGACGCCCTTGTCGAAGAAGGCAGTGTCACGGAACCTTGGAGGTACATTAAGTTTAGGAGGTGTCATGATGAATAATTCACCTTTGGTGGATTTGTGACCTCCCTTGTTGGAAGCGCGACAGATATACTCATCAGCATCTTCACCAAAGACATCCTGAATCACCAGAGTATGGCAATCATTCTCGGAGAATATCTGGTAGCGGCTGCTGTTCTGGAGCTCTCTAGCTCCCTTGTACCAGGTGATGTGAGGCGTAGGAGAGCCAGTGATCACACACTTGAAGGTAGCGTTTGCATTCTGAGCGCAGTTTATTTTCTTCAGACCCTGGATTATCTCTGGAGGCTTGGACACCTGAGGATCGACGATCTTAACCGATGTAGAAGCAGTAGACTCTGGACTGAGTCCAGCTTGGTTCTGGGCAAACACGCGGAACTCGTACTGACGACCTTCGATCAAGTTGCTGACGTTTATCTGAGTCGTAGGGCAGATGAGAATGTTGACGCGTTGCCAGGCAATGGTACCTGCTTCGCGTTTGTCGATCCAGTAGCCTTGGACTCTAGCTCCTCCGTCGGTCTCAGGCTTGGTCCAAGACAGGTTGACAAAGTCTCCACCAATCTCCAGAACTTTGGGCGTTCCGGGAGGTCCTGGCGGGTCGAAGAGCGCTTTAGCCTTGATGGGATTGGTTCCTTCCAAAGCGGGACCCATTCCGTTGTCATTGACGGCCATCACACGGAACATGTACTCGTGTCCTTCGTTCAGGCCTTGGACAATGAAGGTGGTGTCCTTGACAGAGCTGGAGATGGTCAGCCAGTGTCCTTGAGTGACGTCGCGACGTTCTACGACGTAGTGAGTGACTTTGAGACCACCGTCTGACTTGGGTGGGTGCCAAGCAAGTGTGCATGTGTGCTTGTCGATGTCAGAAGCCTCCAGTGGTCCAACAGGCGGTCCAGGTGGTCCGGTAACGCGAGCGTTGAAGGATCCGCTTACACTGCCACTGTCATTGCTGATGGACAACTCGTAAAGACCTTCGTCTTCGCGGTTTATGTCCTTGATGAAAATAATCAAATACTCGTCGAAGATAGTGTACTTGATGTGTGCAGACTCGACCACCTTGGAGCCGTCCTTCTTGAGGACTACGTCCATTGGTTGATCACCGCTGTACCAGATCTTGATCTTGGTGTTGTCCTTCTCCGGCAAGTAAAGGTCACTTGGCATGCGCTCAATCCTCGGTGGTGTTCCAATCTTTAGTCTCATCGTTGTCGTGGCTATTCCAAGAGGATTAGAAGCCTGGCAAGCGTAATCTCCGCTGTCAGCTTCCCAAACTTCTGAGATAACAAGTCTGAAAAGACCGTCGTCGCGGCTTTCGCATCTGAATCTTCCGCCCATTGTGATTTCCCGGCCGTTGCGCAGCCATCTGGGTGTAGGCATTGGTCTGCCGGTAGCTTCGCATTCCAGGACGTAAGTTTTGCCCAAGGGAACTCCTTGGCTGACTGGTAGCGCCTTGGTGAACTCTGGTTTCTCTCCGCCCTCAACTTCGCAGACTTTGACGGGTGTTGTGCATGAGCTCGCTTCAGATTTTCCAGCAGCGTTCACTGCGAACACTCGGAACTCGTAATCGCCTCTTTCAATCAAATGCATCACGGTGTAATCAAGATCTACCACGTTGTACTCGTTGCACTTCATCCAGATAGCCGAGCCGATTTCTCGCTTCTCGATAACGTATCCAGTGATTCGGCTACCTCCGTCAGAAGTTGGAGCCTCCCATCTTAAGTCTACGTAGTTCTTGCCGACCTTGATGACCTGTGGAGTTCCAGGTGGTGAAGGTACGTTGAATTTGCTGCGCAGTTTGAATTGTATCGAGGGTGGACTGGGTTTGCTGAGTCCAGCGGCGTTTTGAGCCCGGACACGGAATTCATACTCCTGACCGCGAGCCAATCCGTAGCAGATGTAGTGGGTGTCTTTCACTAGGTAGTCATTGGCTATGCGCCAGCTGCTACCGTCTGTAGGGTCGCGATACTCCACTTTGTACCCTTGAATCCTTGATCCACCATCTGAAACTGGCTTGTCCCAAGAAATGGTGATGCTGTCAGTGTCCCAGTCGATGACTCTTGGTTGACCAGGTGGCTCGGGAACGTTGAACTGGAATTTGGCCATTATTGGCTCGTCGCCTACCAGAGGCTCGGATATTCCGTACTGATTTTCAGCACGCACTCTAAAGTTGAACTTTTTGTTGGGTTCAAGACCCATTACGTCGTAGTGCGTGTTGCGTACGAAACTGCTTAATTTTACCCAGTAACCGCCAGGGTCCAATTTCTCAACAACATAATTGGTAACTGGTGAACCACCATCGTCAAATGGCGCTTTCCAGGACAGGGTGCAAGTTTCAGGAGTAATGTCAGATACATCGAGTGGTCCCAGAGGATGTGATGGTTTATCGACGACCAAAACTCGGCAAGAAGCTGAGTCTGTGCCAACTGAATTGGCCAGTTGAATAGTGTAACAACCAGTATCGCTTCTCTTGGCCTTTCGGTTGATAAACTGCGAAGCTACTTCTGTTGTCTCGAATTTTATTCTGTCATCTTGGATAACTTCTTCTCCGTTTATCGACCAGTTGGGTCTGGGTTTCGGGTTAGCGTTAAACGGAACAGTGATGGTGAAATGTTCACCAGCAATCACAGTCATGTCGCGGATGCTCAGGTCGCTAGTGATCTTGGGCGCAAATTGTGGTGCAGCTGCACGAATAGCGTCTGAACTCATGCTCCATGGACCTTGTCCAGCAGCATTAACTGCTGCAACCCGGAATTCATAGTCGTGATTCTCAATCAGTCCTCCTACCTTGTAAGTAGTGTCAGGAATACGTGCTGGAGTTGCTTTAATCCACTTGTCTTCGCTGATCATACGCTTCTCGATAATGTAACCGGTGATCGGTGAGCCTCCATCGCTTCTTGGTCTCGACCAGGTGATGGTGATGCTGTCTTCTGTAGTCTCGACACCTTGAGGTACTCCCGGAGCGCTCGGAGGATCGAATGGATAGCGCGCCTTGATTGGTTCTTTAGTTTCAACTGGGTCAGAAGTTCCGTATTGGTTTTCAGCCATCACGCGGAACTCGTACTCCTGTCCGATATTGAGATTACGTACACGAACAAATGGAGCAGTGACGTAGCCACTGATCTTGGTCCAAGACTGGGATCTTTCACGTTTCTCAATCACGTAATTAGTAATATCAGCTCCGCCATTGTCCTTAGGCGGGTTCCAGTACAATGTAAGAGCTTCTCCTGCAAATTCGTCGGCTCTGAGGTTCTGCGGTGGGCTTGGACGGTCAAGAACTCTAACATTGACAGTGGCAGTGTCGAATCCAGAAGAGTTTCTCAGCTGAAGACGGTACTGACCTCCATCAGAGCGTTTTGAGTTCTTAACGACAATACTTGCGTAATCATCTTCAAGTTTTTGATGAACTCTTCTGTCTGTTTCATCCAGAACGACGTCGTTTGCAAACCAAGAAGCCATGGGTCTTGGGAAGCCGACATACGGAACGTGAATGCTGAAATCTTCTCCAGCGCGGACTGTGATGTCTCTGACGCCTCCCAAGTCCATGATCGGTTTGTTAGGTTGTTCTTCAATGGTGATGGGATTCGTTGGACGACTTGGCTCGCTCTTGCCAACGTCATTCATAGCAATTATACGGAACTGGTACTCGTCTCCGAGTCTCAACTTGGGCACAGTGTAGATAAGTCCAGAGATTGGAGCTCCATTGACATCTGACCAATCAGACTCGTCTTTCCTCTTGGATTGAACGTAGTAACCGCGAATCTTAGCACCACCGTCGTTTCTAGGTGGTCTCCATGACAGAGTAACTGAATCTTTGGTAACTCGGTCAGCGTTAGGTTGCTCAGGAGCGTCTGGCCTTAATCGTTGGTGTCCAGCGACAATCTGGTCAGTGGCTCTGCTAGGGTCTCCTGGTCCAGCTTCATTAACAGCAATCACACGGAATTCATAGCGACCACCTTCATGAAGATCTTGAACGGAGAATGTTGTATTGGGTGTCGCGTAATTGTTGACCTTGAGCCATTCGCCGCCTCGTTCGCGTTTCTCTACGTAGTAACCAGTAATAGGCTTACCGCCAGTGTTGTCTGGTGGATTCCAGGTGAGAGTACAAGTGTTGGGCGTGTAACCAAGAATTTCTGGCTGACTTGGTGGACCTGGAGGATCGAAAGGACTCTTAGCCACCACGGGCTTACCGTCCAGAGGCTCTGATACTCCGTAGAGATTCTCAGCACGTACTCTGAAGATATACCGACGGCCTTCTTGCAATCCTCGGGCTGTAAAGTGGCAAGTTGGACAGAAGCCAGGTACTTGGCGCCAGTTGTCCATTCCAAAGTCGCACATTTCAACGATGTAGTTGGTGATCTCAGCGCCACCGTTGTCGTCAGGTGGACTCCAGGACAATGACACTGACTCGTGGTTGGTTCCAGAGTACAGAAGCGGTCCTTTAGGCGGATCAGGCTTGTCTACGACGATCACCTGGATGTCAGCCATGTCGCTTCCAAATTCATTGGTCGCTTCCACGGAGTAGAATCCAGCGTCTTCGCGAGTAGACTTCTCAATCAGCAGAACAGTGTGTTCACTTTTGGTTTGCGTGGAAATTCGGTAGTTATCCACCAATGGACCAGCGTCTTTCAGCCAAGTGACTCTTGGAGTTGGTGCTCCGGAGATCGGAATATCCACGTGGATTGGTTCTCCAGCACGAACGCGGATCTTACGGCCCATAAGAGCGTCAAGGTGAAGCTTAGGCTTCTCTTTCATTGGCCTAGCAGCAAAGACGTTGGAAGCGTCACTTGGCTTTCCGGCTCCCGCGGCGTTAACTGCAGAAACACGGTACTCATACTGATGACCTTCAGAAACATGTTCGTCAAGGTAATCAGGTATCTTGACCAGTTCCTTGTTGATTCTTATCCAGCGACCAGTAGCGCGATCACGTCTCTCAATCTCGTACCCAAGAATGGCGGATCCTCCGTTGCTAATTGGCGGAGTCCATTTGATGTGAATATGATCTTTGCTAGAGTCCAAGCACTCGGGTTTACCTGGTTGTCCAGGAACAACGAATTGATTCTTTGCGACGATAGGTTTGTCAGTTTTCAGAGGATCTGAACGACCTTGCAAGTTTTCTGCCGAGACTCGGAACTCGTATTTCGAGCCTTCCATCAACCTTGGAACAGTTGCGTGGGTCTGAGTAGGGCTGACGTGGTTAACAGCCGGTACCCAACCGCCTCCGTGAGTCAAATCACGTTTCTCAATAACGTACCCAGTAATTTCACTACCACCATTGTCTTTCGGTGGTTTCCAGGACAAAGTAACCGACTGGCTAGTAATTTCTTCGTACTCTAGTGGACCTTCAGGTGGACCTGGACGGTCGAGGACAATGAGGTTGAAGCTGCCCTCGTCAGCACCGCTTTCGTTCTTCAATGTAAGATGGTAACGACCTGAATCAGCACGTTGAGCATTGACAGTGTGCACGATTGTGTGGTATCCAATGGAAGTAATCGTTGTTTTTTCATTAGTAATAACCTCTTTGTTGTTCAAAGTCCAAGTTACTTCAGGTGTAGGTTCTCCGATGAAGTGAATATCAACATGGAAGACCAATCCGGCTTTGATTCTAATGTCATCCAACGGAGTTTGAATTTTAGGTGCCAGATGACGACTCTTGGCAATTACCGTATCGCTTGGTTCCGAAGGTTCTGACTGTCCGGCAGCATTAACCGCAATTACCCTGAACTCGTACTCCATTCCTTCAGTGAGGTCCGGAGCAGTCGCACTAGTTTTGTCACTAGGAACGTGAACGGCGTTGATCCAGTAGGGACTGCCTTTCTCCTTCTTCTGAACAATGTATCCAGTGATAGGCGATCCTCCGTTGTTTTCAGGAGCTGGCCAGGTCAGGTCAACGTGGTCTTTGTCCCAGTCAACAATCTTGGGCTTACCAGGTGCATCAGGCTCATCGAACTCATTCTTAGCCACAATACTGCGGGTTGTTTCCAGAGGATCTGACTCGCCGATGTTGTTCACAGCCTTCACACGGAAGTAGTACTCCTTTCGGTGAGTCAGTCTGAAAACTTCGTGGTTCAAAGTCATCGCCATACCCGCGTCAGACCAAGTTCCTCGTGAGACGTCCATCTTCTCGACGATGTAATGAAGAATTGGACTTCCACCGTCGTCGAGCGGTAACTGCCATGAAAGATGACAGCTGTCCTTGCAAATGTTACTTACCACCAGTGGTTTCTCTGGTGGTGAAGGACGATCCAGCACCGTGACATGAGCGCTAGCTGATATTTTTCCAACGTCATTAACTAGGTTCAAAGTGTAACGACCAGCGTCAGATCGTACCGAGAAGGGAATTTCAAAGGTTGTGTTGGTCGTCGTGGTAAATATTTCATGGCGAACATCTTGCTCAATCGGTTTGCCGTTTAGACTCCAGTAGGCAGTGGGCTTAGGAGCCGCCTCGATGGGAAGGTCCCAACTGATCTTCTGGCCAGCTCGCACCGTCAGGTCTCGCATCAACATCTTGTCAAATGTCGGAGCCTGGAACCTTGGTTTGGTAATCACCGGCGCTGAGGCTTCTGAAGGCTCTCCTTGTCCACCTTGGTTGACTGCAATCACGCGGAACTCATATTCCTGACCTTCTGTAAGATCTGGCACCTTGGCAGTGCAATTCTTTCCTCCGGAAACTTCCAAGGCTTTTTCCCATTGTCCAAAGCGCGGACGTTTCTCAATAATGTACCCAGTGATTGGAGATCCACCGTCTTTCTTCGGTGGAGTCCATTCAAGATCAACGTAGTCTTTGTTCCAGTCAGTAGCAATTGGCTGGCCAGGTTTGTCGGGTTTGCCGAACGGATCCTTGGCAGTGATTTCATCAAGCCCTGTCAAAGGCAATGACTCTCCAATTTTGTTCACAGCACGAATACGGAACGTGTATTGATGTCCTTCTATCAAATGATCGACTTTGTAAGTGCATATATCTGATTCAGCTGCAGGTACCCAGCGCATGCTTTCCGAGTCCATTTTTTCGATCATATAGTGAAGGATCTCAGCCCCTCCATCATCTCTTGGAACTCTCCAGCTGAGTGTACAGCCGTGTCTAGTGACGTTGTCAATCTTAAGTGGACCCTCTGGTGGAGATGGAACGTCCATTACGATAACTTCCAACGTAGCGCTGTCTACACCGTTGACATTCTTAACTGTCAACGTGTAAGTACCCGAATCTGTACGTCTAGCGTCCATGAAACGCACCTTGGTGTTGTAATCCGTGTTGGTAATCTTAATACGGTCATCATTAGTGACCATATTGCCCTTCAAGTTCCATTCTTTGGTTGGTGGTGGTTCACCAATAACCGGAACATCAAAGTCGAAGAACGCACCAGCCTTGACTTTGACATCCAGCATGTATTTGCGGTCGATTTTCGGTGGCAAATTCTTCGGTCTTGCAATGTGCGGACTAGTAGGATCTGAAGCTGCGCCAGGACCACCTTTGTTTACAGCGCGAACACGGAATTCATAAGAAGTACCTTCTATTAAATCATTGACTCTTCCATGAGTAACGTCTCCTTCAACTTTGCTAACTTCTTCCCAATTAGGATTAAATTTATCTCTCTTTTCAATAACGTACCCAATAATTGGAGATCCTCCATCTTCAACCGGCCGAGCCCAGGCCAGTTCAACAAAATCACGGTCAAAGTCCGTGATTTTGGGAGTTCCTGGTTTTCCAGGTTCGTCAAATGGATTCTTAGCTTCAATATTTTGAGTAGTCGTCAGTGGATCTGATTTTCCTTGTTTATTAACAGCACGAACACGGAATTTGTACTTGTGTCTCGGGGTCAGATCATCAATCTTCAGAGTAGTCTCTGGACCATCTGTTTGACCGGCTGGTACCCATCTTCCAGTCGCGTCATCCATTTTCTCGACGACGTAGCACTCAATAGGCTGTCCTCCATCATCCTCCGGCGGGTTCCACGACAAAGTACATCCTTCTGCATGGACATCTGAAGCTCTTAGCGGTCCCTCCGGTACTCCGGGTTTATCTAAGACAATAACTCTAACAGTAGCTGAATCCTTACCGCTGGAATTCTCAGCATTGAGAGTGTATCTTCCAGAGTCGGCTCTAGTAGCCATCCGGACGGCAAAGTTGGTTGCGTATTCTACGTTCTTAATCTTGATACGATCAGTTGGGTAAAGTTCCTTGACCCCTAACAACCAGCTTGTCTTTGGCGGAGGTTCTCCGCTGACTTTAACATCAAAGCTGAAGTTCTGGCCAGCTTTAATTTTTATGTCTTCCAGGTTCGTACGGTCGATCATTGGCGGCTGGTTGCGTGGCTTAGCGATTATTGTTGGTGTTGCATTGGAAGGTTCACTGGGACCAGCTGCATTAACTGCGCGAACGCGGAATTCATACGGCTGGCCTTCTATCAAATCTGGAACTGTTGCATAAGTTAACTCTGGAGATACTTCCAGGGCTTTTTCCCAGTCACCATATTTGTCTTTCTTCTCGATTATGTATCCAGTAATCGGCGAACCTCCGTCACTCAACGGAGGTGTCCATTCAAGATCCACATGATCACGATCCCAGTCTGTGGCTTTGAGATTTCCAGGCTTGTCAGGCTCATCGAATGGATTTTTAGCGATTATAGTTTCCTCGGCAGTGAGTGGTTCTGATTCTCCTTCAGCATTAATAGCAGACACACGGAACTTGTACTCTTTTCCGGGAGTCAACCCGATGACATCCATATGAGGCTCAGGAGACCTACCACAAGGAATCCAGCAGCCGGTGTCCGGGTCCATTTTCTCGACTTGGTAGTATTCCACAGGAGTACCACCATCGTCTATTGGACGCTTCCATTTAAGTTTGCAGCCCTCTTTGTGGACGTCTGAGATCTCCAGTGGACCTTCAGGCGCAGATGGCTTGTCAGTGACGACCACATTTATGGTGACGCTGTCCTTGCCCGAGCTGTTGGTCGCTGTGACCACGTACTCCCCGGTGTTGTTTCGAGCCACTGGTCTGATCACCAGTTTGGTGCTGTAAGGAGGATTCTCGAGGGTGACTGTTTTGTTAGAGACGATTGGTATAGATGAACAACGCCAGTCGACGTGTGGTGCCGGTTCTCCAATAATATTTGCGTCGAATTTCAGGGTTGAACCTGCTGATAGGGTTATGTCCTTCAGGTGTCTTCGGTCGATCTTTGGAGCAACTGTAACATTATTATTTTTGAGTATCAGTTTTTAGGCAATTAATTTGGCTAGAAAATTTTTTATCTGTTAGACTTTTTGGTAATTTATTAATAAGTGAGGTCAACATTATTTTGGGCCATAACTAGGTGAAAAATTAACATTTTCAAATTTTTTTTTTTTAATTCAGCTTTTTTTTACGGCGCATTTATGATAAAAAATGTTGGGAAAGAAAAAAATAAAAATTTCAATAGCTTCTTTGCCATTAAAAGTTGGAAAAAATTTTGGCTTACATGTTTTTGGATAAAATTGCTATTTTATCTTTTTTTGATGTTTTTGATATATTTTTTTTTGAAAAGTACATAAAAAAACGAAAAATTAAAAAAAAAATTGATCAGTTTGATTAAGAAAAAAAAAAAAAACAAAATTTAACATGACCCAGTATGGGTTGGACCCCACTTGTAAATAATTACCGACTTTTTTAATAGGACATTAAAATTAAAAGACACTTGATAATTTTTTGATTTTCTCATTTATAATTTTTTAGAGCTTTTAATTATAAAATTTTTTAAATAAATTTTTCTTGCCATAATTTATTTGTAAAAAAATTTCTAAAAATGAACAAATGTCTCTTAATTTCAGTATTATTTTTTAAATACTTACGGAAACGTGGCTTAGCAAGGAATGTCTTGCTAACATCACCAGGTTCCGACTGTCCAGCTTTGTTGACAGCAATAACACGGAACTGATATTCATTTCCTTCAATCAATCCCGTTAAATGTGCTTCTAACTGTGGGGAAGTCAATTCCAAAGCCTTTTCCCACATAGCGCTGTATTTATCTTTCTTCTCAATAATATACCCAGTGATTGGAGAGCCACCATTCGAGAAAGGTTCTCGCCAGGTTAAGTCTACTGTGTTTGCTGACCAGTCTGTCGGCTCAGGAGCACCAGGAGGCGATGGTACCGCTACAATTAATTACAAAAATTAGTAATCATTCCTTTATAATAAATTAATTATAGCAATTTAAAAATTAGTATTTACTGAATGGATCCTTGGCGATGATAGATCCATAAGTCTCAAGCGGCTCAGATTCTCCCTCAGAATTGAGGGCTTTAACGCGGAATTTGTACTCGTGACCGGGAGTCAAACCATCAACCTTCATCTCAGTACCCGCACACTTGCCAACTGGCAACCAAACACCAGTCTCCGGGTCGTATTTCTCCACGAGATATCCTTCGATTGGTTCGCCACCATCGTCTTTGGGTTTTCTCCATTTGAGGGTACAACCGTTCTTGGTGATGTCTGACACGTCCAGAGGTCCTTCGGGCTTTGATGGTCTTGCTGAGAATCACAAAAACATTTTTATTATAAATTATAGTTATAATTATAACAATCCTAATAATTTTAATGTTTTCTTCACTAAATAATTATTTTTCAAGTAGATAAAATTAAACAGACCGACTGCTAGATCTTTGGGCGCCATAGACACATTAATGTTACCGCGAGCAAACTTTTCAACAGTCTATTAATGTCAAGCGAATTCAATTGTTAATATCTCTAGAGTCTGCACTTGAATTGATGCCGAAATTTTTTTTGTAGCAATAAATTTGTTACGTAATTACTTGTCCTTAACCCTCTTTATAACTCTATTATTGTCTAATTGTAATTAAATATCAATAACAATTGATAAATAAGTATTATTTATTTTTTAAGTTAGTTTTAAAAGTATTTTTTTTTGTTCATAAATTATATTTGACCAAAATTTTGGTAATTATATTTACAAGTGGGGTCAACCCATGCTAGTTCATATAAAATAGAAGTTTTATGACAAAAACATGAAAAGACAAAATTTATTCCAACTTTTAAAGGCAAAAAAGCTATTGAAATCTTTATTTTTTCCTTTCACGAAATTTTTTATCATAAATGTACCGTAAAAATAAGCACAATAAAAAAAATGTTAATTTTTCACCTAGATATGGCGAAAAATAGGGTAGACCCCACTTGTAAATAATTACCAAAATTTTTTAATAGAAATCTTCAGACCTGATTAAAAAATTTGAGAAAAATTTTTTTAATAATAAATTTGTTAATTTGGACAAGTTTTATTTTATTCTCAAGTAAATAAATTTTTTTTTATTCCCAAGTGAAGAGAATAATTATATCCTTCTTCGTCTAATATACTTACAAATAACAGTGACCTCGACTTCAGCAGTATCACTTCCAAACTGATTAACAGCTGTAATCTTGTAAATTCCAGTGTCTTTGCGTTCAGCCTTGTCGTTGTAGAACTTGGTGTTATTCGGCTCATTAACGACACGACGGTAGGTCGTTATGTGAATATTCTTGTCATTGATAACCCAGGTGACCTCAGGAGCCGGTTCACCGATAACTTTAACGTCAAAGTGGAAGCGCTCACCCTCGCGAATATGAACATCGCGGAGATTACGTCTATCAATTTTCGGTGGAACTGAAAAATTAATATCCAAATTAACATCAAGTAGTTCAAAAATATTTTTAAAAAAAATTTTCATATTACCTCTGCGACTCTTAGCCATGATTGCTTTGCTGGCGTCAGAAGGTTCACCAGGACCAGCAGCATTGATAGCTCTGACTCTGAACTCGTACTCGACACCTTCGTCAAGGTTTTCTGCACGACCTTTGCACTCGGGACTGTTTGTCTCGCAAGCTTTCATCCATTTTTGAGAGCCCTTTTCGCGTTTCTCGATCATGTAGCCAGTTATTGGAGACCCGCCGTCTTGTAATGGAGGAGTCCATCTGAGATCAACGTGGTCTTTGTCCCAGTCGGTTGCTTCTGGTCTACCTGGTGGTCCTGGCTCATCTGTATTCAATAAAAATATATAATTTAATACAATAATTTTTTAGATTGATTTATTCTACAAAAATTATATTATTTTAATTTAATTTAAAATTTTAATGTCTTTAACAGTTGTAAAATTTTTTATACAATTTTTTTTTTTTTTTTATTAACAGATTTTCTTGGAGAAATTGAATCAAAGCCAGAATATTTTTCAAACTTCAATTTAAGAATTATAAAAAGCGGCGTTCACAAAATTCAATTATAAAATTTTTAAAATAAATTTTTTCTACTTTGTCCGAAACGCGTTATGATAAATTTTAAGATCGCGAGTTAAAATAAAAATAATTAAAATTAAATTTACTCCTTACGATCTGCTTGATGATTATAGAAGAAAAAAAAAACAATAAAAATAATTTAATTACCAAATGGATTTTTGGCGATAATACTATGATCCGTCACCAAAGGTTCAGACTCTCCTTCAGCATTGACCGCGGCGACCCGGAACTTATACTCTTGCCCAGGTACCAAATTTTCAACTTCAAAATTATTATCCTTAGTTCTTCCAACAGGAATCCATCTTCCCGTTTCAGTGTCCATTTTCTCGACAACGTAGTGTTCAATAGGAGCGCCACCGTCATCAATTGGAGGATTCCATTTAAGTTTGCATCCCTCCTTATGAACATCACTGACCTTAAGCGGTCCTTCAGGCTTGGCTGGTCTATCTAGCACCAAAATTTCAATCGAAGCTTCATCTTTACCGGAATCATTTTCCGCCTTAAGAGTCAGCTGCCCACAGTGCTTCCTCGTCGCCGAAGGAATAATGAACTTAGTCCTATAATCTTCCATCTCAATAGTAAGACTAACTCCATCTTCCTGGCGAACTTTGTTGTGCCACCAAACCTTGTCTGGCGGAGGTTCTCCAGATACTTTAACATCCAGCTTTATTTGATTACCAGCCTTGACCGTGAGATCACGAAGATTGGTACGATCAATTTTCGGAGCTGCATATCTATCTTTAGCGGTCAAAATATCACTGGCATCACTGGGTTGACTGACTCCTCCTTTATTAACAGCTTTGATTCTGAATTGATACTTCTGCCCTTCAGTCAAATCTTCAACCGTGCCTTGGAGTTTTTCCCCAGGAACTTCGCCAGCTTTCGTCCACTTTCCGTACATGTCTTTCTTTTCAATGATGTACTTTTCAATCGGCGCTCCGCCGTCACGTTTCGGAGGCTTCCACTTAAGGACAACATGTCGCTTGTCCCAGTCTTTCAAATCTGGCTTGCCAGGAGGGTCTGGTTCTCTGAAAGGATTCTTAGCAGTGGTCGGAAGATCAGTTTCCAAAGGTTCCGAGTCGCCTTCAGCGTTGACGGCTTTCACACGGAACATGTAGTCTTTTCCTTCATTCAACCCTCCAATTTCCGCCTCTGGAGTTTTGCTTGTCGCGCAAGGAACCCACCTTCCAGTATCAACATCCATGCGTTCAACAATATAATGATCAATCGGTTCGCCACCGTCATCATCAGGCGGATTCCACTTCAACTTACAACCCTCCGCTGTGACATCAGAAACATCCAATGGACCTTTAGGTTTGGTAGGCTTGCTAAGAACCACCAGCTCTATGTCAACCTGATCGGTTCCACTGTCATTGGTAGCTATAACAGTATAAGTTCCTGTGTCAGCTCGCTTCAACTTGTTGAGAATGAACAACGTGTGGTATTCTTCGTTGTCAATCTTAAGACGATCCATCGGCTTCAGGACCGTGTCTTTGTACTTCCAGGTGACTTGTGGTGGTGGCTCACCTTTTATGTCAGCCTCCAACCGCAGCATCTGGCCAATCCTGAGAATTTTCTTCGCCAGGTTCTTCCTGTCAATTCTTGGAGCCAAGAATCTTGGCTTGGCTACAACACTCTTGGAAACGTCACTGGGTTCACTAGGTCCTGCGCGATTGACTGCAACCACACGGAACTCGTATTCATGCCCAGGTTCGATTCCTTCTGTAACTTTAGCAGTGGTTCTGTCACCAACAACCATGGCGGCATCAACCCACGTCCTTCCGTCCTTGTCGCGCATCTGGACGATGTACTTTTCAATAGCCGCTCCACCAGTGTCTTCCGGTGGAGTCCAGGCCAAGTCCACGAAATCTTTGTCCCAGTCCTTGAGATCAGGACGTCCTGGCTTGCTGGGTTCGTTGAACGGATTCTTGGCGATTATTGATTTATCGGCTTCTAACTCTTCAGAGTCACCCTCTTTGTTAACAGCCTTAACACGGAACTTGTAAGGCTTGCCCTCAAGCAACCCAGTGATATTAGCTTCAGGCTCAGTGGATCTGGCACAAGAAACCCAAGTTCCAGAAAGTGGATCCAGTTTTTCGATTTCGTAGTACTCAATAGGGCAGCCACCATCATCGTCTGGTCTGTGCCATTTCAATTTGCAACCATGCTTAGTGACATCGGTAACCGAGAGCGGACCCTTGGGTTTAGTTGGCTTACCAACAACAGTGATTTCAATTTCCGCTTCGTCTTCTCCAACTTCATTGGTAGCACGAATCGTGTACTTACCAGTGTGCTTGCGTTTGGCTTTCATTACAAAGAACTTTGTGTTGTAGTCAATGTTATCAATGCGATAGACATCATCTGTCTTCAATTGGGTCTCTCCAATGGACCAAGTGACAATTGGAGGGGGTTCTCCAATAATGTTGACATTCAAGCTGATAGTCAGGCCAACTTTGACAGTCAACGGCTGCAAACTAGTACGGTCAATGTGCGGTTTCAACCAACGCGCCTTGGCAGTGTGAGGATTAGTCGCTTCACTGGGTTCTCCAGGTCCTGCTTTGTTAACAGCTCTGATTCGGAATTGATACTGATTGCCTTCAACCAACCTTGGAACAATTCCTTCGCATTTAGGACCAGAAGTTTCAACAGCTTTTACAAAACTTGTATCAAACTTCTCTTTCATCTCAATTATGTATCCAGTTATTGGAGCGCCTCCATCACGCATAGGAGGCTCCCATTTAAGCTTAACAGTGCTCTCAGACCAGTCGACAATGTCCGGCAGTCCAGGAGCTCCAGGTGGGTCGAACGGATTTTTAGCAACCACAGGGCTTTCTGTGTTCAAAGGCTCTGATTCTCCTTCTTCATTGACTGCTTTCACACGGAACTCGTATTTATGACCCGGTTCTAGACCCGTAAGAACATGTTCTGTTTTCTCTGGATCCACTACTCCTGCTGGAACCCATCTTCCAGTAACCAGATCCATTTTTTCAACAATGTAGCTCGACAATGGTAGACCTCCGTCATCTTTAGGTTTCTTCCATTTCAACTTACAGCCTTCTTTGTGGACGTCCACTACTTCCAAAGGTCCTTCAGGTTTTCCAGGCTTGTCCAAAATAATAATCTCGACTTCAGCTTCGTCACGTCCTGAATCATTGACGGCTGTAATAGTGTACTTGCCCGTATCTTTACGGCTCGTGTGGGACATGATAAGTTTCGTCAGGTAGTCTTCGTTCTCGATCTTCAATTCTGGCGTGTTTTCGAGAGTCAAACTACCGCGAGTCCAAGTAATCGTTGGTGGAGGTTCTCCTTCAACGTCAACTTCCAACTTGACATGCTGGCCTGCGCGTATTTTGATAGTCTGCAGCTTGTCGCGGTTTATATGTGGCTTCAAGTAACGAGCTTTAGCGACGTGAGGCTTGGTAGGGTCGCTAGGTTCGCCGGGTCCAGCTTTGTTGACAGCTCGAACACGGAATTGATAAGTGGAGCCTTTCTTCAGCCCAGTAACAATTCCTTTGGGCTCACCAGACCGGGTGTCGATGGCTTCTTCCCAGTGAGTCGAGAATTTCTCCTTCTTTTCGATTATATAAGAAGTGATAGGAACACCTCCGTCGTTCTTCGGTGGCGCCCACTTTAAGTTAACTCTATCAACGTCCCAATCTTCGAACTCTGGAACTCCAGGTCTGCCTGGAAGGTCGAACGGATTCTTGGCAACGATTCCACCAGACGTGTTCAGTGGCTCAGATTCTCCTTCTTCGTTGATTGCCTTGACACGGAACTCATACTCGTGACCCTCGGTCAAACCTTTTACGTCCATTTCTGTGTCGTTGGTGCGGCCGACTGGCACCCAACGACCGGTTGTTTTGTCTAACTTCTCGACTTGATAACCAGTGATCGGTTTTCCTCCATCGTCTTCTGGTTTTTCCCAATGAAGCTTGCAGCCGTTCTTTGAAACGTCTGAAACTTTTAGCGGGCCTTTAGGTTGACCTGGTGCTGAAAGAACAGTCACTTCCACTTCAGCTTCGTCTTCTCCTGAAGCGTTCACGGCTTTTATTTTCCAGACACCAGTGTTCTTTCGCACTGAGTCGTTTATGGTGAACTTGGTGTTGTATTCAATATTAACGATCTCGATATTTCCTCCAGATTTAACGAGTTCGTTCTTGTGGTACCAAGTTATTTCTGGTGGAGGTTCTCCGCGTACGTCTACATCGTACTTTATCTGTTTGCCAGCTCTTACAATTATTGGCTTCAAGTTTGTACGGTCAATTCTCGGTTTCACTAAAAAATTAATGTAACATTAAAAAAAAAAATTGTTTTATTTTTATTGTTAAGAATAGACGAGCATGTTACCACGAGGTTTATTTGATGACTTCATCATTCATTTATTTCTGAGCTTATACATAACTTCTTTAGAAGAATTTTACAATTCTTTCTCGATTAAGAATTGTTTCTTCATTGTGAAATTTTTCCGAATCTCACGCTGAGAATTTTTCATAAAAATGATTATAAATAGCTTAAAGTAATACTAAATATAGTCGGAGTCATAATTTCTACGATTGTAAAGATTAATACTTACAATACGAAAGATGATACCTATTACCTTACATTATATCATAAATAAATAATCTATCTAATAAATAAATAAATATTAAATATTTTTTACAATACATCAATGGTTAAATAATCTTACATTTTTCAATTATTACAATTCATATGGTAAGTATTATTATTCACGATGAGAATTATAGTTATTCTGCACAAAATTAATTTTCCAACTATTTTTTCCTTTAAAATGCATTTACTAAATTTACTTATTGAATGTTATAAAAGTCAAGAAACAGTAAAGTTAAAAATTAAATAAAATAATTAAAAAAACTCGGTGCATAACTTTCAAATGCACTATTCAATTAGTATTAAAATAGTACCATAATTATACCCATTAATAATACCTAGAATAACCATTAATAATTATTTATAATAAAATTTTCAGCGTGCACGTAAAAGTAATATCCAACAGCCTATCATATACTTTTTGAATTTTTAGAACCAATCCCTAACATCTATAATAACATTGTACCATGCTCGTGCATCCTTTACATAAATAATATCAATCCTAATTATCAACATAAACTTACATGCTTTGTGCTTGACCATTTGCATCTTAGAAGCATCAGAAGGCGGTGATAGCCCAGCTTTGTTAACAGCAATCACCCTGAACTGGTACTCAGCCCGATCTTTCAGGCCCATCACCCTAGCAGCTAGCCCTTCACTAGCAGGGACTTCCATCGCTTTCTCCCAGTCTGGCTTGAACCGATCTTTCTTCTCAATAATATACTTCTCGATAGGAGATCCACCATCAAAGTCCGGAGCGGTCCATTTCAAGCTAACCGATTCATTGTCATAATCAGTAATCAAAGGAGTTCCAGGAGCATGTGGTTCGTCGAACGGATTCTTGGCTACCGTTGGCTTGTCACTGGTCAGCGGTTCCGAGTCTCCTTCATCATTGACCGCAGTCACGCGGAACATGTACTCGCTTCCAGGATTCAGCCCGGTGATATCAAACTCCATGTTGTCCGCATTTCCAGGTACTCTTCCACACCGGACCCACTTTCCAGTTCTAGTATCCATGCGTTCAATTTCGTACTCCTTGATCGGGACACCACCATCGTCTTCCGGTTTCTGCCATTTAACTTTAGCACTGGTAGCTGTCACATCTGATACCTTGAGTGGTCCACCAGGCGCGTCAGGCTTGCCCAAAACAGTAAGCTCAACAGACTCTTCATCGCGCCCGTTGACATTCTCAGCAGTTAAGGTGTACTTTCCAGTATCTTTTCGCGTTGCATTAACTATCGAAAAGTCAGTGTGGTACTCAACATTCTCTATCTTGATCCTCTCAGTGGTAGTCAGCGGAATATTGTCCCTCCAAATCCAGTTGGTAGTTGGAGGCGGTTCACCAATAACATCAACAGACCACTTGTGAGTACGTCCCGCTTTTATCACCACCGATTTCAAATTAGTCCTGTCAATTCTCGGTTTCAAGTTTCTGTGCTTGCAAATATGATTGTCCGTAGGCTCACTAGGCTGAGAAACACCAGCTTTATTAGCAGCACGAACTCTGAATTGATAGACCATTTTCTCCTTCAAGCCTTCTACTTTGGCTTCAGGATTATCATCAGTGGTCTTCATAACTTCAACCCAATCCGGCGAGAACTTATCTTTCATTTCCACGACATAGTGAGTAATAGGTCTACCACCGTCTTTCTCAGGCTTGGTCCATTTTAAGGACACGCTCACATTATCATAATCAAATATTTCTGGCTTGCCAGGTTTGTCTGGCTCATCGTATGGATTCCTGGCAACAATAGCTTCATCAGTGACCAGCGGTTCAGATTCGCCTTCTTTGTTGGTAGCCTTAACACGGAACTTGTACTTCTTGTTCGGTGTCAGTCCTGAGAAAGTGAAGCTGTCCTTATCGGGACCAACTTCTCCAGCAGGAACCCATCTTCCAGTGTCGACATCCATCTTCTCAAGAGTGTAACCGGTTAAAGGCGCTCCTCCATCGTCTTCAGGACGCTTCCACTTAACAGTGATGTGATCAGAACGTACTTCTTCGGTGACAAGTGGTCCCTTGGGTGGAGAAGGCTTGTCTAATACCACAACATCACCAATGCTCTCACACTCGCCCGAGCCGTTCTTTAGAACCAACTTGTACTTACCCGAGTCAGCGCGAGTTGTTTTGCGAACCGTCAAAACAGTGTTGCGTTCGTATTTATCGATAGTTATTCTTTCAGCAGAATCTTCTGCTAATTCTTTAGAGCCCAAGAACCAATGAACTTCAGGATCTGGTTCTCCACCGTATTTAATATCATACTTGATAACTTGTCCTTTCTTGACCACCAAGTTGGTCAGTTGATCACCGATAATAAACGGCTTGACGAATCTGCATTTAGCGATTATTGGTTTCGTTGCATCTGAAGGTTCTCCAGGACCGGCTTTGTTGACGGCGCGAATCCTGAACTCGTACTGGGTGCCTTCTTTTAGGCCATCAATGGTACCTGAAGTAACGTCGCCTTCAATTTCTTTGCCCTTGACCCACTCTTTGCCAAACTTTTCCTTGTATTCGATGATGTATCCAGTGATCGGAGAACCACCATCGCTGTCTGGCTTTGTCCACTTTAGATCTGCGTGATCTACGTCCCAGTCTACGACCTCGACATTACCTGGTTTTCCAGGCTCGTCCCAAGGATCTTTAGCCAGAACCGGCTTGCCGAACAGCGCAGGCTCACTAGTACCGATTTTATTGACAGCGCGGATTCGGAATTTGTATTCTTTCTTAGTTTTAAGGTCTTCGACTTTGAGAACGCATTTTTCATCAGGCGTAACTTCGCCGACGCTCTCCCACTGGTTCTTAAGACTCATGTCCAGTCTTTCGACGACATACTTGGTGATAGGAGAGCCTCCGTCGTTTTCAGAAGCCTTCCAGGATACGACGCATGAAGTAGCGAATACTTCGGTGACGTCAACGTCTCTTGGAGGAGTTGGAGCGTCTTGCATCACTATGTTGACGTCTTTAACTTCCTCGCCCTGTCCGTTGCTGATTTTTACCTGGTAAATGCCGGACTGGTCGCGCTGCGGCTTCTTTATCTTGTAGGTTATTTTATCTTCGCCTACTACTACCTCGACGTCCTTGAGAGGCAGTGCTTTTCCGTCTTTCATGAGCTTAGCTTCTATGGGAGTCTGCTTGGTTCCTTCGACTTTGTAAGGAATGATGAAGACGATTGGCGAAGAACAAGGTCCTTCGACTTTGTCCGGAATTTCGGCGATCGGCTTGCTCTCGCCCTTGCGAACAGTGAACTTGCAGCTGCTGGAAAGCTCTCCACTCTTGCAAGTGATCTCTCCCTCGTCGGACATCTCGGCTCTATTGAAGACTAATTGATGCTTACCACCGCCGAGATTCTTTATCTCGATGCGGTCGTTCGGTTCGATCGGCTTGCCGTTGAACAGCCACTCTGCTGGGGCTGTTTGGTCTTGGAGTTCCACGTCCAGAACACATTTTTCGCGTTCGGTTGCTGAGGTGTCTTTTAGTTTCTTGGTGAAACTGTTCAAGTCTGGATAAAAAATTTAAAAGTTAAATGGAATTTTTTTTTTTTTTTTTTTTGAACAATCAAAAATTTTTAAAAATTGAACTTACAATTGACAACAAGTTCACCTTCTGTTTTGTCGGCATTACTGACACAAGAATATTGGCCAGCATCTGTTACTTTACAGTCTTTAATAATGAGTTTTCGTTTTCGGCCATCAACTTTTATTGAAATTCTATAAAAAATTTTAGATTAATAGATTAGATATATTTATAATTTAATAATTGTAATTGTTTAGATAAAAAATCGATAAGTTAATTTATATAATTTTTTTTGTTTTATTATTTTTTGCTATAGCAGATTTATGAATATGCTTTAAAAAATTATGAAAAATAATTTTATTAATTTTATTTTTCAAAAAAAAAGTGGATACTTATTTTGTTTTTCATTAAAAATTTCTAGACATTAATTTATAAAGTACAATATTTTTTTTTTCTTAAAATTTTTTTCAGAATTTTTGAAAAATTTGTAAGTTATAAAAAAAAAAATTTAATAACTCAATTTTTTGTTTTTTTTATAAAAGTGAAAATTAAAATAATATCAATACCTCTTATCTCCAGTGATTTCTTGGTCACCCTTGAACCATTTAACGTCACCAGCAGCGTCATCAAGCTCACAGAGCATTGTAATAGTGTCTTTTTCAACAGCCGTTTGACTTTTAAGTACTTTTACGAATTTATACGGGTACTCTGTAATCAATTTAATATTATAATTACAATTCACAATTGAACCGAAGAATGAACCAACAAAATTATTCGTAAAATAAAAATTAATTAAAAAAAAAAATTACCTATAATTTTAAGAGTAGTTTCGGTCTTATCATTTTGCTTATTAATTTTACAACAGTATTCATCACTGTCTTCTATCTTAGCGTTCTTAATTGTCAATCTGCAGACACCAGACATATCTTTCGAGATGCTGTATACATCTCCATCCTTAAAAAAAAAAAAAGAAAAATTGATTAATTAATTTCAGATACTTCATTAAAGTTAATTATTTATAAACTTTTTATCTGAAATTACCTCGAGTTTAGTTTTTCCTTTGTACCAAGTAACGAGAGCCAAATTCGAGCTCAAAGTACACTCCATATAAGCTTCATGTAGCGAATAACCCTGAGTTTCTTTGTTCAGGGGCTTAATGAAAGTGTACGATGGATCCGGTTCTACAAATAAATTTATAATTAAATAAAAAAAAACCAAACTTACAAACTTACAAACTTAAAAAAAAAAACTTACCCTCGACAGTTAAGAATGCAGTGCAAGTTATTCCGCCAATATCGATGGTATATTTACCAGTATCGTCGACTTTTGGATTAGAAATAATCAGCTTATACGAATCTTCTTCATTAACAAATTTGTACTTTGATGATGGGAACAATTCCTAAATAATTTAATAATAAATTGAATTATTTTTATCTTTTTTAAAAAATTTCTTCTTTTTACTTATAAATTATAAAATTTACAAAAAACTAAATGTAAAAATTAATACAAATAAAATTTAATTATTTTTTTTTTTTATCTTTTTTAGAAAATTTCTTCTTTTTACTTATAAATTATAAAATTTATAAAAAACTAATTATAAAAATTAATACAAATAAAATCTAATTAAAATTATAAATTATAAAATAAAAAAAAACTTACATCCTTACGGAAGAACCATTTGGGCTTGGCATTGGGTTTAGAGAAGTTGCAATCAAATGTAACCTTCTTATCTTTGCCCTCCTTGGCTATTTGATCAACCAGAGGTTTCAAGAATGAGTCTTGCTTCTAAAATTTTTAAAAAAACAACAAATAATACCAAAAATCTCCAACATTCAAATAAATGACAACAATTATTATTAATATTTTTAATATTTGATTGTATATGCCATTAGACATTATTGTGATGATAAATCTGGACCTATTAGTGCTTGAGTTATAATTTATAATGATAGATGTATCCCCCGTTGATTCATGCCCTCATGTCGATGCTGTTAATCATCTCGTGCGAGACAATACGTTCAAGAGTTATAATTATAAATGTAAATATAAATAATTATAATTGTAAATAGTATAAAGTTGTCATTAATCAGAACATAAGTATTAATGTTGTTTATGTGTGACGTGCAGTGCACAAACGTCTAATATGTGTAACATGACAGTTATTTAATTATGTTGTTTAATGTTTAATAAGAATAATTAAAATATATAATATATATTTATAAGCTGATGTGCAGTTTGTCACGTGTGTGTAAGTAGTAACATAACGACAGTTAGAATATATCCATGGCACGGGCAATTGATTATTGCCAACCTCCGTCTTGACGAAGTGATGAAGGGTCGGCCAGTCAGGTATTAATTCAGCTAGTGACTGCCTACGTGATCCACTAGTCTAGAAATAAAAATAACCAAGCTTCGACGTATATCAAATAATATTCATTATCTTGATTTATTATCCAGGTCCTTGTATTATTATCCTAATACAATTTTTTAACGGGAATTTTTTTTTTTTTTAATCAAGGGGGACCAATAAAATTCATTTTAAATCATCGGGTCTATTTACAGTTTTATTAGATCGGGATTTAATATACAATGAGCCTTTGGATAAAAATTTGGGCTCGGATAAATTATATTTTATAAGCAACTTACTGCAGGATTTAATTGTTTTTTAGTCCGGCATTTTTAGTGGCACTTCGAGGACCGATATTTTACTTTTTGTAATTTTTATTACTGGGTAAAAGCGACCAAAACTTGTGAGAGATTTAATTGCTTACGTTATAGGGGATTAAATTTTTATATTAAAGCTAAAAGTTGGGCGCCGCAAATTTTGACTTGACTGTATATAAAGAATTTTTTGATCCCTTTTTTCTTCTCTCAAAAAAATTAACATTTTAGAATAATACTAAAGTTAGCCAACGTTTTTAATTTTTTGATTATTTTTCATTTGTGAAATTAGAACTAAAAAATATTTTTTAAAAATTGCACTTATAGTTTTTCAAGTTTTTTACAAATGAAAATTTTTTTTAATTTTTTTATGATGAAAAAAAATTCTAAAAATTTTTAGATGTCAGCTAACTTAATTTTCATCATTTTAGAATGTTAATAATTAAGATGAAAATTTTTAAAAATTTTCATTTCTTCCCAAGTTATGATTTTAAAAATAAAAAACAAAAAATTAGTTTTTTAAATTATCATAACTTTGGGAAAAATTGAAATTTTTCAAAAAAATTCTTCGGAATTATTAATTTATAGACGTAGAAAAAGTTGATGAAGAATTGTCAAAAAATTGCCGATATAAACGTAGTTATAGTCAAAAATAGGGAGCATGGCGCCCAACGTAGAGCCTCAATCAATTATAAATTTAAAGTATCCGTGTAATTTTGAATAATTATGGGTATAATTTATAATTCAGATGTTTACTGTTGTTTGTTGTTGTACTGATTGAAAATAAAATTGGGGCTATCGAACCTTTTTCTTCACTCGAACAATGAGCTTCGGCCAATCGACGATTAGTTCTTGGAGACTCGGTCTTCGCTGGATGTCGAAGATGTCCTGCAGTAGTCAGTCACCGTATTTGTATGTTTTGTAAATAGAATAAGCCGAATTAGTAATGCGATCCTCGAAGTACCAATCAGTGCCTCATTATAACTTTCGGTAAAATATTAATAAATAAATGCTTATAAATAAAGCACTGATTTATGGATTTTGTTGGATAAAATAATCGGGGCTTCTATCAAGATAATTCGAATGATATAAATATGGTGACCTATAAGAGAGTCCTGGAAAAAAATGATAAATAAATTTAATCCGATTTGCTACGAGTACCCAAGGTAAATAACAAATATAGTATTTATAATAAAAATAATAAAACAGAAACATTAATCAAAATCAAAATAAAATGCAAAGTGGAAATTTTATTTAAACAACCCCGGTTTTTAATTTAAGGGAAATTCATATCAGATTCAAGGGTGGAACAGAAACCTTTAACCAGCTCCAATTAGGTTCTCCTTTTTTATCAAGCGGAATACGGATTTCTTCGTCAGCTCTCACATAGATAATGATCTCGTTGCCCTCTTGGCACCAACTTCTTCCACCGGGCAATGGCTATAAATTTTACAGGGATTTTTTGGTTTACAGTAATTATTCACAAAAATCCAATCAAATAAATTTTTGTTACGGGAACGAACAAGTGCTCGGGACATCTTACCTCAGAAAACAAAATTCATTACCGAATCTAATAAATTGACTTACGTGTTTTCAAATATTTTGACATAATAGTGATAACTGATAAATAATAAATTTAGACAGTCATTTAAGATAGATGACTGAGCTGAAGATAAAAGTATGAAAAAAAAAAATAGTAATAATTACTAGAAATGACCATTACGTCAATACATACCCTTTCGACTTTTTTCAAAGCTGGCTTAGGTTTCTCGACCTCTTTAAGATCTACTTTCTCGTGATCTTCTTCTTTAGCCCATTTAGCGTACTTTCTTTTCTTCAACATTGTACGGAAGTCCATACCACTTGCGTCTGATGAAAAAAATTAAATCATTTTTTTTTTTTATTTATAAATTTAAAAAATTTTACAATGTAAAAAATTTTGTTGTAAAAATTGACTCCGAAAACACTACTCGGCGTAAAATTTTAATCCATGTAATTTTAACACGTTATGATCCACTTTTTTACACCATTCTGTGTTATTTAATATGATTGGGGCTCTGTTATATCTGAGCGAACTGTTGAGCGAAATTTAATTGTATAAACACAGAACAAAATTTTGCGTCAAAAAACTTAGTGTTAAAAATTTTTGTATTAAATATTTAACACTTTTATGTGTAAATTTAAAATTTATTCTGTTAAATCAACACAAAAAAGTGTTGAATATTTAACATAAAAATTTTTAACACAAAATTTTTTGACGCAAAATTTTTTACTGTGAATAAATAAATAAACGATGAATTAAATTAAAATTAATTAAAGACAAGGAAGAAATTTTTTCAAAATTTTAGTTTTGATCATTTTTACGGAAAAAAAACTTTTTTTTCGAAAATTGAATTTTTTTATACTGACTAATAAAAATTAAAAAATAAACTTTTTGTTAATAGGAACAAAATTAATATTTTCATCAAATTTTACATCGTATAGTGCTCTCACGGTCCATTTTTACACCAAAATTTTTTATAATTTCAAAAAAAATTTTTACCTGATACGTAAAGCTGCATTTCTGCAGAATCTTCACCGTGGATGTTGCTAACAACAATTTTATAGGTTCCTTCATCGTTAGGTTTCGTTTTTCGCATGCAAAGGGTAATGGAGTTGGTCTCGCTATCTGTGAGGAATTTGTATCTGCCACCTTCGATGATTTCAGTCATACCCTTGTACCACTTGAAGGTGGGCGCGGGGGTTCCCTCCACCTGGACGGTGAGGTACCCCGTCGCATCTTCGACGGCGGAGTACGACTCCTGGACGTCGACAATTTGTGGTGGTCCAGCTGGTCCGACATCGCGGAGTGGTGTGCTAGGCTGGTTGATCTTATTCTCGAGGTCCGCCACGCTTGGTCTCCTTAGGTCCGTACTCGGACGACGTCGCTGTGTAATTAGAATATCGTTAATATCTCTATTTTTATTTCATTTACTTAATCTTAACATTTAAAGCCATATTAACAGCTTGTTTTTTTTTTTTTTTAATTTTACTGTCAATAATTTACCAATGATACTCAATTTTTAATCTTTTTTCTGCAATTACTTGCTAGAAAACATTTTTTTGCAAGGGTTAAGAATTTAATTTAGTCTTACCTGTTTATTTACAAAATATCATTGGCATTAAATTAATAAAATTCATGTGCATACAATTATAACTATCAAGCAGTAAAATATACAAAGCATTTTGAACAAACAATAGTTTTGAGGATATGTTGATAATTATAAAAAGAAGAATATAAATAATAGTTTAGGGTTTTTAAAGCAATATACAAACAACATATCGTCATTAGATATTTTAGTGCTAGGAAATAGGTATCGTGCATTTTTATATCAATTTTTTTTTTGTAAAAGTTTATTTAAAATTTTTCATGAAAATTTTGATCAAGTTCAATTAAATTGAGAACATTCATCTGAAATTATGTTACAATATAAAATTTCATATGCTTACATAATATGTACTCAATTTTGCAATGAATATTCATGAAAAAAAAGTAGTTAATTGTTATAGTTTATAATGTAAATTTTTAGAGTTAAATGCTTCGTTAAAAAAAAATTGGAAAAATTTTTAAAATATAATTTTCACAAACTTTGTAGGAAAAAAACATTTTTTAACTGTAATTTTTCTAGTTTTTTTTTCTCAACGTACCTAACTATTAAATTTCATACTATAAGCTAAAATCATTTATTTTTTTTCCGTGAATTAAAATCTAAAATTCACGCTATAACTTTAGAATTATTCAAATTTTTTACTTTACACAAAAAATTTCTTGAGCAAAAAAAATTAACGCAAAAGATCAAAAAATAGTTTTGGTTTTTTATTTCAACATGAAATTATAAAATTTTTGCTACTATTAAAAAAGAGTAACATTTATATATATATATATATATTTTTTAATAAAATTATTAAAAATTTAATATAAAAATGCATCGCAGTTATGGAAAAAAAAGGAAAAGTTGGTATTATAAAAAAATGATAGATTATTTATATAAATAAAAATTGTTGAGAATATAAATAGTGAGCCTGTAATGAATATGACAGTATAAGTATTATAAGTATAGAAGAACACATGTATTATTATTTATTATTATAATTATTATTATTATAAGTAGTAGTATTATTATCATTACTATGTAAATATAGTAATAACGAAAAGTTATAAAAATGAATGAAGTAATAAATAATTATTTTTATTATTCGGTGACTGCAGAGTGAAATATTAAAATTATAAATAAATCAGACTGCGAAACAAGTGATTTTAGTGGAATATATAAATTATAAAAAAAAAAATTAAATATTAAATTAACACTGTGATTTACGTGTATAGAAAGTAAACCCAAGAATCCAATTAGGTACAGAGTAAATCAAGCCGTTGATCTCATAATCTGGCTTAGGATCAAGGCATTTCAATTATTTTATAAGACACATTATGACCTCGCTAGTTAATTGGGAATCAATGGAAATTAATCAGTTCGGACAAGAGTATGCTAAATTCGTATCTAGGGTACTCTGGGTTCTTATTTCGCAGTCTTTACTTTTATTTTATCATATATTTATTAATTTACTATTTTTAAATTATTTTTTGTAAATTAATAAATATTTTATTATTATATTAATTAATAAATTAATAAATAGTTAAGAAGACAAATGAGGATATTTACAGGAGTGAAGAAACAAGGATTTACAATGACCCGTAGAAAATTTTTCTAAAAACTACCATCTAAGAAAAATCTATTGATTCCGATCGCTTGTATTTAAAATTATCACATTTAATTATAAAAAATATAATATTTACAAGATTCGATTATTGTACATATATATTTACAGATTGTACACAGAAAAAAAAATTAACTTGAAGAGAACATCAAGAGAAAAAGTCTTGAACCAAGAAAATAATTTTGAAGAAGTTCATTGTCTTGAATCAAGACAAAAAATTCTTGAATCAAGTAAAATTTCTTGATTTAAGAATTTTTCAACTTAAACCAAGAAAATAAAATTCTTCAAAATTATTTTCTTGATTAAAATAAAATTTTTTTCTGTATAAGAGTGACAAAAAATGACAAACATACAAAAGCGCGACTGAAAAATTTACAAATGAAAATAATTACAAATGATCAATGAACAAAAATTAAACGACTTTTATTCACGTTTCAAAATTATCTAACCTGTTTTTCTTGGACCACACCGGGGCGCCCAAGTTTATTCTGCTTGTCAATAAAAAAAAAATAATTTAATAATCTGATTTTAAGGGACTAGAGTTCTAAGGTAAGGATAATATTTAAACTTATTTTAATAAATTAAATATATTATATAGATAAAATAAAATTAGAGTAGCAAGTGAGGCAATTATCAGATTTGCAGCAGCAGCGCCAGCAGCTCCAGTATTAGCTAAAAAAATTTCAATTAATTTATTATTTTTATTAATTAAATTATTATTCGAGGAAAATTGTTAACCAGTTTGATACTTAATGTTGAATAGTGTAAAGAGTTTGTTTAATTGTGTATTAATCTAGATGAATATAAGAAATATAAGAATTAATGATGAGAAATTGAAGATAGAGGTGATTGTCCATATAATTGATATTGTGACTGATGATGATGATTGGTGATTAGTAGGAGCTATATTGTAATTAATAATAATAGACTCTTTAAAATAAAATGAAAAAAATATTTATTCCAGTTTCTCGTAAATTTTAACCGGATAATAATTAGGAATCTAAAAATCATCTTGAAAGTAACGTCAAGATGAATTATTGCGGGTATGAGCAAAAATATGAAAAATATTTAATAAGGGTAAAATATATTTAAGTATTAAGTGAGTAATTAATAAAAATAAAAATGCGGTCGATGGTCTTGGTTTATAGGTAAGCTTTGTGTTTCACAAATCTCACCTTGATGTCCAACACCTCGCCTGGGCGCAACTTTCCAGCCTGCACAAAATTACAGACAACTATCAACGAGGGTACGTTTACATTAACATTAAAATATTTTTATTGATTTTAGATAAATAGTTCAAAACTTTTACTCGTTTATCGGTACTTTTTATTGTGTAAGATGATTATATTAATAATATTATTATTATTATTATTATTTTAACTAGCTATGAGATGAGATGACTGTCCAAATGCCTTTGGACGATGGAACATTTTTTATGATAAAGAAGTCTCTGGTTCCTGTGGTCAAGTTTGTTATGAGAAAATTTAATTAGAGATTTAGCTGGCTATAAAAAGAAAAAGAGATTAATAGTTTTTTTTTTTTTTTTTTTTTTTTATGATAATCAAGATAGTTGAATTTTACTGTAGCCAGATGTTGAGAGCGTGCAATAGAAAGCGCAGAGGTGCAGGGTTCGATTCCTGCTGCCGGTAAATGGTGTAAATTTTTTAATAATTTAATTTTTTTATCAACTATCTTGAAATAATTGATGATTTAAATAAAGTATTTTAGCGTACGGATTGTGGAAAAGGAATCTCGAATTATTTTTTTAAATTCAATTTTTATACTTTAAAAATTATTCTAGTTTTTTTCTTCAGTAAAAATATAATAATAAAAGTGGTATTAAAGTATCTTTTCCGAATGAAATAAAAGCAAATGACAGAGTAAGAAGCAAGTGATTAATTTCACAAACTGTGTATCGGGTCACCAGTTCTGATCCCTGACAATCATTTAGCATTAAGTTAAACTGTTAACACGGTGTAACAACATTGTTGAGCAATCCGTCAAGCTTAATTGTTGTGACTAGTTACCGCTACACGTGTCACGACAATAACGCTGGCCAAAGCACGAGCCAGAGCGTCAATTTGATGATTGCCAACAAGAACTTGACAATTGACAATTAAACATTGGGAGATAAGATAAATATCAATATTGATAAAAAAATGATAATTAGACAATAAATTCCAAGGACTTTGTTTTGGCTGAACAAGAGGTCAAATTTTTAGTGAGCCACCCTCAGTTCTCAGTCTTGTGATTAGAGTCCTAAATTCTGTTTGTCTGTGTCCCAGTCTCAGTCTGGGCGCAATTAAAGCCGATGATGAATAGCTGTCAGGTAATATATTATATCATTAGTTAATTTATACACAAAATAGCTCGCATATATTAACGACATATATAATAATATAAGTGCAGATAAATATCAGCAGTCTGGTTCTAGTTGTGCTTTAATTTTCATGAGCCATTAACGTTCTTTAGGATGTCGACGCCAATAATAATAGAGTAGAGAGCTCCGGGGCGTAACGACGCGTACCTTTGGTTTTAAAGTTAAATGATTCAAGAATGATCGTCAAATGGACTTATCGACCTGCCAGATGGCACAGGGGCCTACTCAACAGCAATCTATCTATCCGTGTTACATTTTTTATTTATACATAAGTATGTCTTTAAATGTTATTTTCAGATTTAGTATTTTAAGAATTTAATTACTACCCCGCGGGCAATCGTGCGCAAAAACTCCTCTTAGACGCTGCTTTTAACATACTACTTTATTATAGTTGTGATATTAATTATTATTATTAATATCACAACTATAACAGCGTACTAAGTGACATTTTAAGATATTTCGAGAGTCCTTTTCCACATGATATAACGCTTACGGTTATTAATATTACTCAAGATTATTAATATCCTCGTCATCGTCTATCGATTAAGGTGTGAGAAGGTGCTGATTATAAGAGACCTAGAGATATTTAATGCAGTCATGCTTCTCTTTATCAGATTTTTTCCCGAGCTCTGAGAGTCCGTGCCAGATGCCATATGCAAATGCATTTTTTTTTCTTTCCGTTTATTTAATATGCTCTATTCGGTGAGTCACTCATTGGCTCTTATGCTTTTATAATTGTCTTTTATTCTGTCAAATTTTATTTTTTTTTTTTTGATACTGAAAGTAGACAATTTTTTTAATAGTAATTAAAAAATTTTTAAAATTCAAAAAATTATAAAATGGTAATTACTGAATTTTAAAAAAAAAATTAATTTTTTTATTTAAAAATTTAAATTTAAAATTATTTTTTTTTTTTTTTTTTTTTTTTATGAATTTTAACGAAAAAAATATAATTCATATGAAAAATTTGTAATTTTTTTTATCAAGTAAATTCTAAAAAAAATTTTGAATATATTTATTCATTCTTTATAATAATTATAATTTAATATTAGAAAAATTTTTTTACTTTGGTATCATTAAAAATGTTAAAATTTTTACTAATTTAAAAAAAATTTTTTACTAATTATCGGTATTATATTTTATATTATAAATTATAAATTTATATTATTTATAAAAAAATTGTCTATTGAAAGTTCTCAATATCATTTCCAAAAATTATCAATTTGACAGCTAACAATTATTACTTCAAATATTAATATGGTGGTAAAAAAATCAGTAATTATTTTTGTACCACATGTAAGTGCATGATTGTGCCGTGTTATAAATGCGAGAGTAAAAAAAGTAAAATAAGAATGCAGTTTAATGTAATAAATAGTAGAATAGAAGAATTCCGGAGATTTGCGGCATTTCTCACCTTCTTCTCCTCAATCACCTCTCCAGGACGCAGCTTCCTATGCTCCTACGGATCAAATTGTTATGTAGACTGTATTGTGTAACGTGTATATGTCATAGTCAAGATATATTCTCTATCTATACACCTATTACTAAATATCTTAAACAAAAATTGTAAATTAATCTGATCTGCTTCTTGGCGACCTGTAAACCCACCTAATCATAATTAGGATCATTGGAATAAAATGTTTGGGATAGAATTAAGCGTAACCGCGCTTATAACTCCAGACAAGCGATACTCGTCAATTCAAGTAGACTAATACAGTATGCCAGCAATTTAAATTAACAATCTACGGTGACTAAAATGATTTATCATAACTATAAAGGAAAACACATGTATAAACTTACGCATGACTAAAATTTGACAAATACAGTAAAAAAGAAAAATATAAAACAAAGGTTTTCTTCACAATGCAAGGTACGAATATCTACCAAGGATGTTTTGACTATTTTGAGCAAAAATTTTTACAAACTACTGATTTTTGGTATTTCTTATTTAATAAATTAATTTATAGATTGATTAATAAATTGTTGATGAAAATAAAATTTTCCGACACCAAAAATCAGCAGAAAATTTACCAAAAAAAAGGTTCAAAAGTTTTACCTCGTCGCTGATGATAAGACTAGGTCTACGTCCCAATTCCTCGGGAGGAATTAATGAACCACGGCGACTACTTGCACCACTTCCAGGTATAAGTGATGGTCTTCTGCTACCAACAGGCGTAGTTTCGCGGATAACTTCGATCTTAGGTGTCTCTTGTGGCGCAACTATTTCCGGTAACTTGGGCTACAATTTAACAAAAAATCATCAACAATCAACAATCAACACCTCACGACACTTCACTTATAAATTTTTATTTAATAAATAAATAAATTAATTCTTGTAGTAATTAAAACGTAAATTTTTACGAGACGAAGCGGCTTAGTGGATCCATAACTGGCCACTGGGACGACGGATTTTACACAGACAAAATTTGGTGGACACGCACCGATAGATACTGAAAATAGAAAACGTCCCTCTCCTTGTCCCTTGTAATAATAAGAAGCTGCGGACAATAAGTTGGCCTTAAAAGCCTAACGGGTATTTATTTTTTGTACCGATAATTGGATTAGTGTAATTAGATCACGGGTGTCGCGGTTTTAATTTAGTTTTTTTCTTTAATTTATGGGTGAATGAATGTTTTATTTTTTATCCTCGTAGTAAAAATAGTAAATTAGGACTGTTTTATTCTTTATTTGATGAATAATCTCGTTGTTTGGTTGCCAAAAATTTTTCGAGAATCAGGAGCTGAGATATTCTTGATGATTAATTACTAAGGACGGCGATAACATTTGAAGCGATAATTAGCGCACACCCACGGTCAGTTTATTAATTTTGGTAAGACGGTTTTATCGCAATTATAATATCGTATTGTTGCCAGTCTTAGTCGCGCTACTTCTAACTCTCAAACGATTTCCATTTTTATCTTACCTTTGATTCGAATTTCTGAAACAAAAAAATAACAATTTATTTATAATTAATTATCAGTGAATTAAATATTATTTTTTTTTTTTTTTTTTTCAACATTCTTTCTTCAATTAACTAAAATAATTACCTGAGTAGCTGGTCGCTCAAGTTTTGTCTTATCACGACCCGCGTAATCGCCGAACTCGAATTCCTGAGGCTTCTCCAAAACTGGACGCTCGTAATCTGGAATCTCCGGAAGCTCGTAGCTTTTTTCTTTATCCACTTTCGAAGTTTTTGACTTTTTCTTCTCTTCGACTTTGCTTTTCTCCGTTTTCTAAATAAATTCCAATTAAAAATATTATCATCCACTCAATAAAAATTTTTCTCATTATTCGATTATTAAAAAAAAAAAAAAATACAAAAATTAAAATATTGTACGATTAAAAAAAATTTATTTTTTAATTATATGTTTGTTGCAATGATTGCATGGATGATTTTTTATTGCAATGATTTTGTTTTAATGCTTATAATTTATAATTATTAAGCATATGCGGTGATACAATGGTGTATAATAATTATAATGATTTGAGCATGGTGCTGATGGGTGAATTTTTATTAATCATACCATTAAGGAATTTTAATTCGTGCAGAGAACGAAATTTAGAAAGCTGATTTATAATAATTATCGTAATTTTAAAGATACACAGTAAAAAATTTTGTATGATTGTGTAAGAAAATTTTTTATTAAATATTTAACGCAAATTTTTTACTGTATATAAGAAGTCTGCTTTTTAAGAAGAAGTAAAGTTTTTTCAAAAAATTTTGAAGTCTGATTTTATTGGTTTGATCCACGGATACCTTTAGCTCGACAATATAGCCATGTTCTGCCGTCTCAGGCTGTTTTTGTTCTTTAGTTACGGGTTTTAGTTGTACATTGAAGAAGTTCTCGAATTTAGCTGCTACCTTCGGCAACTTACGATCCGAATTTTTGTTTGTAGCATCGCCATTGGTTTCTACTTGCTACATCATTGTCGACAAATTTTTAATTCATTAGATTGTTCTTAGCCAATTCACAGCGACTTTGTGTTGGATTTTAAATTATATTCTACATGATTAGTTTTTTTTTTCTAAACTAATAAAACAATTAAGCAAACCACAAGTATTTACAGGTATTTACAAATATTTACAAGTATTTTTAAGACTATGGTTTTATTTACAAGTAAGAATGAATTTTTAGTTAATTTTACCTTTAGTTCGACCTTGTTCAGCTCCTTTTCTTCCGGCTGTAACAAAAAAAAAATTATTTTATTTTATTGATAAAATTAATTTATCAAAATTTTAACTATTAAAAAAAAATATAATAAAAAAAAATATTATAAGCACCTTTTGAACAGGCTTCAAACTTGTGCGCCTTAGTACAGCTTCTTCTTTCTGTAAAAAAAAAATAGCCAATTAATAAAATTGATAAAAAAATTTTTTTTATCCTTTCAATAGTGATTTGTTACTCGTACTGAAAGTAATTAGTTTTATTAAATTAAATTTACATAATTAATGAAGATAATTATTACAGAGCTGCTGAAAATTAATTAATTAATTAATTAATATAATAGTGCTAGTGATTTAAAAATATTAAGAATACCAAAATGCTGAGGCCGTGCGTTGATTAATAACTAGATATTTTGATAAATTGTGCATGATGATAAAGATAATGATGATGAGTAATTGTAAGTTTAATTGTAAGTAAATGCTGGTGATTGTTCAATACGGATGCCGATTAATAATCTGTTTATTTATTTAAAAGTGTAATTTTTAGTGATGTGTATACCTTCAATTCGGGTTTAAGAAGATTACTTTTGGGTTTAAGTTTACTAGGCTCATCCTTCTAAAAATGAATAAGATTTATTTCGAGGTGAGAAAGTTATAAATTTAGATAAAACGTTAATTTACATATTATATATTAAAATTTAAATGATGTGCGAACAGTTTTGTGTACCTTGGACTCCTCGGGTTTGCCAAGGGTGGCTTTTGGTTTTGGAATTGGTTCTTCCTGAAATGTTTTATGTTTACGTAATTTTACACGGATTATTAATTTTATTTCGTAATTGTGTTTTTATAATTATAACTCTAATATTTTGTTTGTAATTAATCAACTGTTTGTGTACCTTAGGCTCGGTCGCTTTGGCAGCAACGGGTTTTAATGTTACTTCCGGTTTGGCCTGCATTAATTGTGAAAATTAATAAATTTATTTCATTTCATTACCAATTGTCTTTTATTAATTTCAATTTGTTCATACTCTATCTACCTCTTTATCATTTTCCGGTTCCTTCTTTGAAATTGATAACCGTTTCTGAAAATTATTTTCACGATTTGCCAATTAGTATTTTACTTTCAAAATTTTATTTTTTTATTTTTACCTTCGGTGTGGGTTCATCCACAGGCAATTTTGATTTAGATTCTGGTTTTTCCTACAAATTTTCAATTTTTTTTTTTTTAATAATTTTGTTTCTGAGTAATGTAAGTAATGAAAGTTTAAATGTGTTTGAATGTACCTTTGGCTCTTCGATTGCTTCAGATTTTGGTTTACTCACTGGTTTTGCTTTCTAAATTTTCATTTTTTTTTTTTTTTCATTAAAAGTTTTCTTCTTTGTATACAAAATAATATATCAAATAATTCAAACTTACCTTCTCTGTAGTTTTTGTTTTTTCCATAATTGATGTTCGCCGACTTTCTGATTTCTTCTCTTCGACCTGAGTAAAAAATTTTAAATATTCAATTTTCATCTACCAAAACTAATAATTAACTTAATAACATCAACAAATAAAATTCAAGTAATTAAACTATTTGATGCCGGTACACCGTAAATTGATTATAATTCCAATTAGGTTTTTTTTTCAATATGTGTAATTCTTTGCCAATTGAATAATTTTGTTTCATGGTGTACCTGCTGTATTGATGAACGTCTACTGGATACAGGAGAACCATTTTCGGAGATCTACAAGGAATAGGGATGGAAATAAGTAATAAAGTATTTATAATTAATTTATATAAAATAGGTAATTATTCACAAGTGGGATCAAACGTATTTTTGGCCATATCCAGGTGAAAAATTAACATTTAAAAATTTTTTTTTCTATTTTGCTTGTTTTTACGGTGGATTTATTGTTATGCTCGTGATATCGAAAATATTAAAAAATTAATATTTCGATAGCTTTGTTGCCTTCAAAAGTTGGAAAAAATTTTGGCTCTTATGTTTTAGGATAAAATTTCTATTTTATCTTTTTTCGATGTCTTTGACATATTTCTTTTTTAAAAGTACATAAAAAAACGAACAATTAAAAAAAAAAAGTTGAATATCACAATTTTTTAAAAAATTTATAAATTTTTTTGAAAATTTGTTAAAATTGTGGTAATCATTTTTTTTTTAATTGTTTATTTTTCAAAAAAAAATATGTATCAAAATTTTTTAAAAAAAATTTCATTCAAAAAAATGAAAATTAAAATGGTTGAACCCACTTGTAAATAATTACCTTAATTTTAATTAGTTTTCAATAAAAACATTTAAGAATCTTGATATATAAATTATAAAAAAATTCAAAAAAAAAAAATTTTACCGTTTCCTCAGTAGTGGAGACGAGAGAGCTTCTTCGACTTTCAGTTTTCAATTCTTCTACCTGTAATTTCCAATAAATATTACACAACCATATCATACTTGATTTATAAATTTTTATTATAAATTGTTTTTAATTACCCTACTGACTGAAGTTTTACGCAATGTAACTTTTTCAGGTTTCGGTGTAGTTTCGCGAGATTCTGGTTCTTTCTTCTTGAGAATTTTCTTTAAAAAAAAAAAAATTAATAATTTATAGATGAATTTAATATTCAGTCAAAAGTTAAAAATGTCTTACCTTCTCAGGTTCTTTCTTCTCTTCTGGTTTGAGTTCAGTTTTCTTCTGCAATTTTTAACAAAAATTTAAATCATAGCGCGCATTAGCTTTTTCAAATAAAAAAAGAAAATTACAAAAATAAATACCTTGATAGACTTTCTTTCTTCGGTAGCTTCACCATTTTTAACAGTTTCTTCCTCCTTTTTCTACCCGAATAAAAATATTATTTAAAAACAACGAATTTATAAACCGCATATACACTCGAATTTAATGTAAAAAATGTAAACACTTCATGCAGAAATTCATGCAAATTCACAAAATTGGAGCAAAATATAATAAATTGTAGGATGTTTATTTTAGCCTTGGGTATCTCGAGCGAAATAAGCTTAAGCTCAGAAGCTTTTTATGTAATTGATGAACCAGCCGCTCTAAACAGAAATCATTGATTAAGTAAACATAAAAAAAAGTAAACAACCTGTAAAAATAATTTATTTTTAAATCTTTAACTCAAACCAAATAAATAAGTCTAATGGCATTGATCAAATATTAATAGCATATTAAACTTTCTACTAAGCGTATGATTAATTGCCGACAGTTAAATGTCGAAATCTAAAAGCTTTAGAAGTATAATCAATCGTACGCTTTTTTTTTTTTTAAACTCACCACTGTCTCAATCTTCTGAAAATAAAAATAGTTATCATTAATAACTTGAAAGCTCATCAAATATTTTTAACAATATACAAAATTATTCAAATTTTTATTCTAATTACTTTTTAAAAATCATGAAATCTAATTTAAGGTAAAATTTTCATGCTTGGATAACGAAAATTTTTTTATTATAATTTATTCTCTACTTCAATAAATTAACATTCCATTTTTTTCTTCAGTTCTTGTGAAATTAAATATTAAAAAGTTGAAGTACTGACGAAGAATATCCTTAGAAATATTTAAACTCAACATTTATTGTATATGTGTGTTTATAATTGTCAATAACTTCAGAGCAATTACTTTTTGATACTAACTAACACAAAATGGAGGACAGTTACACAAAAATGGTGGCTTACGTACAAGAAAATACACCCAGGAATAATTAAAAAAATTCTAAGGGAAGTTATTTTAAATATCTGTAATAATTAATCATTAATTATGAAAGTTTTTACATGATTGCAACTGCTCAAAAGTTAAAAAAAAAAAAATTATGTGTTACCTTGTCAGGTTTGTCGATACCATTTGTTTTGGTTTCAGGCTTGTCCTTAAAGAAATAAAAAAAAATATCGTCGATAATCAGGCTCGGATAAAAAATAAACTATACTTTGAATGAGCGGAAATATATACAGATGATAAATATGCTGAAGAGAAGAAATACTGAGATGACAGAAGAAGAATAGAGTCCAGATAGTAAGCTATAGTTTTAATTTGTAAGTGTAAAAGATGTCAGAATAGAGTAAAAGTGTAAGTGTGATTTGAAGGTGTACCTCGATGAGAACAGAATAATCAGAAGTTTCGGACTTAGGTTCGTCAATGATTGCTTCTGTAACGCTGGATTCGACGACACTCACCGAATCCTCCTCTATTTCTTCTTCATCAATATCTTCTTCACTCAATTCACTACTACTGTCAATAGTATGATCTCCATTGGATTCAGACATTGATATCTCCTATGAGCGTATTGACAAAAAAATTTTGAACGAATAAAAAAAAAGTCGCGCTACCAAATTTCCAATATTTAGAGATTTTTCAGCGAAGCATGTTGATCCTTGAGTTAGAGTCAGTGCATTGAAGCATTTTGCTAATTTCTAAAATATTGTTAGTCGTGTAAATAACAAACCATAAATAATTCATTAGTATCTCGTGTACCTTCTTCTCTTCAATCTTTTTGATCTCCTCGATTTTCTTTTTCTCTTCAACTTTGACTTCTTCTATCTTCTTTTTCTCCTCGACTTTCTTCTCTTCAATCTTCTCCTCAACCTTTTCTTCCTCCTTCTTCTCGACCTTTTTCTTTTTCTTCTTCTCTTCTTCTTCCTCTTTTTTCTTTTCTTCACGCTTCTACAATTTTATCGTGTTAATAACAAATCATGCGCTTACTCTATTGTAAATTAGTCACAGGGAAGAAATTAATCACATAAATAATTTTAATAATTTACATTTCTTATCTGCGATGACCTTTCAAGTTAATAATAGTTTCAATTCAAGTAAATTGTAAATAATTACAAGACTTATCGTCTTCGTATGTATTTTTAGCATGATACTTATCATATATAAATTACCTTGACTGTTACAGTTGTACTCGACTCATCTTTGCCAGCTTCGTTGCTGACGACTACCTTATAAGTGCCGCTGAACTCTTCAGTTGACGAAGTAATTACCAACTTCATCTCAATTCCATTGAAAGAAATATTAACATTATTTGTACTGGTAAGTATTGTTGTATCTCTGTACCACTCGATAGTGACTTTTTTATTTTGACGCGTAAGCGAAGCTGATAGTTCGATTGTTTCACCATATTCGACAGTCTGAAAAAAATTATAATTATTTATCATACAGATTTATAAAAAATTTAACAAATAATATTACAGTTAACAAATATTTTTTAGTATAAATAAATCCTTCTATCAGTGCAGAAAGTACTTTACAAAAATATCAAGAAAATTAATAAATAAATCTCAATATAAATAATTTTATTATAGAGTATAAAAATGCTAAAAATAAATAAAATAATTTAAGAATTTCTCAGTACCAAAGCCAGATGGTTGAGAAATTTACTATAAATAGTTTTATAGTCAGAAATTTAGTGTTTGTTTTAAGAATAATTTAAATATTTTTATAGCATCATTTTTTTTTATTTCCATCAAAAAAATGTTTAAAAATTCTACTAGTCATTAATGGAAAAAAAAAAAAAAAAAAAAAAAAAAAAAAAAACAATATTTATTTACAGATCTTAAAAAATTGTAATTCAAATTAAAAAAAAAAAAAAATACCTTTGATGATAATCCACTGCCGATTTTCGGTTTCTCGACTTCCTCCGGCAACTCGGCGACTTCAACAACCTGAGATGTAGCTTCACCCTTTTCATTTCTCGCAACCAGCTTGTATTTACCCTTATCAGCGGTTGAAATCTGCTCGATTTCCAATTTAACAGCAAACTCGCCCTCCTTGATTTTTTCAACAAGCAATTTGTGCCGTTCATCTTCTTTTACAGCCTGAGATTCTTTGAACCAAGTACAGTCCGGTGCGAACTTTGAGAGGACAGTACACTCGACTATCACAGTCTTCTTCTTTATAATCTTGACCACCTTGGGCTTTTCTTTTATCACCGGAATAACTAAAGATCACAATAATAAACCATTCAATTAATAAATCAATCATCAAATAACAATAAAAAAAAAATTCTTACTTTCAACGTTTAAGGTGAGATTGGCATTGAGTTCACCCAAGGAGTTCTTGATATTACACTTGTAAAGCCCTGAGTCATCAGCACCAGGGTCATTAAGAATCAATTTAATGTAATAGATGCCTTCTTTTTCTTCAACAACGCTGAGCTTTATTTTGGAGGATTCCTTGACTACTTTTCCAGCATGGGTCCATACAATATTTGGTTTAGGCTTGGCTCGGACTTTGCAATCCATGATAACAACTTTTCCGCCATCCTGCGATTGGATTCGCGGCTTTTCTACGAAAGTCGGTCCATCGCCTTCAGGCTCTGGTTCAGCCTCGATGTTGAGGTTCAAATTTGCGTTGCTCTCACCAAACTCATTTCTTACGTGACATCTGTAAGTGCCACCATCTGGACCAGTTGGATCCTAAAATTAAATAAATTAAATTTTATTTGACCTTAATGTGTACACTGAAAAAAAAAATTTTTTTTTTGAAAAAAATTAGCAATGTTGTAATAAGAAAAAATTAATTTGTTGAAAATAAAACTTTTTCTCACAGTAACTTTTTTTTTGAAAAAAAATTTTTTAGATTTAAAAAAAATTTACAAATTTTTTTTTCCAAATCAAAAAAAAACTTTTTTTCAACAAGAAATTTTATGTGAGAAAAATTTTTATTTCTTCAGCTTATAAATGAAATTAAAAAAAATTAATTTTTTGTCACAACAATGTCTATTTCTTTGAAAATAAATTTTTTCTCTCAGTGTATAAATAAATTAAAGTTTCTTTAAAATGAAATAAAAAATTAGTTACTTTGATCTCCATAGTGAGTTCATAAACATCTTCTTCAATATCAATGCACTTGATTGAAATTTTAGATGACTCTTTTACAGCGCTGTTACCACGGAACCACGTGACCTCAGGCTTGGGCTTAGCTTTGCACTTGCATTTCATTGTTATCAAGGTGCCACTTTCGTTTGGAATAATCCGTGGCTTCTCGATGAATGAGGGTGCATAACCACCGGCATCTTCTGCATCTTGGAAATAATCCACAATTAGGCATTTGCAATTTTAGTAAAAGAAAATATTTACAATATGAAGAAATAGGAATAAAAATTGAAATTATATGTTAAATAAATAAAAAGCAAGTAAATTAGTTAATTTAAAATCGGAGTAGAATGAATTAAAAGCAAAACAAGACACAAATGACTGTTAGGATACAGACTTACCCAAGCAACACATTACCTACACAAATTTAAATAATAAAGAATGATAAATGTAAAGATAAAGACAATTGTAAATAATAATTGAAACGCGTGCATTGATAAAACCCGACATTCATGATTTTCGTGCTGGAAAAATCGTGCATGTACATTTTCATATATTCATTATAAATACAATTTGATAATTCATTAAAATTTTTAGATAAAGAAGATAAGAGAAGGTAAAGTCGTGCACGGTAAAACGGTTCCACGACTTGCCTTGAAAGTTAAGGGAGATGTTGGCATTGCTCTCCCCGTAATTGTTAAAGGCATTGCAGCGGTAATTTCCCCCGTCGGCTTTTGTCGGGTTCGATATTTCGAGGGTTAGAAGATACGTGTCCTTGCCGGTCGCTTTTTTGAACATCTTTATGCGAGAGCTCCCGTTTATTGCTCTCTGGCCTTGGTACCAGGTGATGTCCGGCACTGGGTGAGCTTCCAGGATACACTCCATTATCAGCAAGTCGCCTTCTTGACGTATCGTTGGTTTTTTTGGAAAACGCGGGGCTTTACCGTCGGGTATTCTAGGTAATTTTTTTTATTAATTCTAGTTCTTGATCATTTCACAATGGGTTTGTAAATTTTTAGTTACCAAATTTTTAATCACTTTTTTATCTACTTTAATTGCTATTTCTATTTTTGTTTTTTGATTTTTCTTGTTTAATTTTTTTAATCTAATTTTAAACAAAAATTTTTAAATTAAGGATTAAAAAATTAATAATTTTTAAGGTGTTATAAATTTTTTTGGCTTTTCTTATTCAAAACAAAATAATTGACATTTAAAAAATTTTCCAAATTTGTTTTATAACAAAGAAAAATTTATGATTTAAATTAATAAAAAATTTGACTTAAAAAAAGAAAATATCTATTTAAAAAAAATTTTTTTTTAAGAATAAAAACATTAAGTTGTTTATTTCAAGTAGGTATTAAAAAATGAAACAATATGAAAAAAAAAAAAAAACAAGATTAAAGTTTTAATCATGTAACTAAGAGCAATAATTAATGGGGTAAAAATATTTGAATTCTATAAAGAGATGATAAATTAATAAATCAAATAATTGTCAAAAAATTATGAAATTCATTAACTAGGTCGACTTGTACAATAATTTAATAATATATGTCGTGTAATAAATCCCAAAAAATGATTAAAATCTTTGGTAATAAATAATTTAGTTTAAAATAATCGTACTTAGGTTTATCCCCGCCTTCAAAATTGAGATTAATAGTCGCAGTACCCTGGCCATGTTTGTTTTTAGCAATAGCTTTGTATTCGCCGCTGTCAGATTTAGCGACATTATTAATCTGCAGCCTTGCGAGATAGTACAATTTTTGATCTAGTTCCAGAGACACCTTGTACCTTCCACTCTCTTTAATTTCATTGGTCCCATGATACCTGTCCATTCAAAATTTCCATTTCCATTGCATCAATAATCCAGAATGATCAACAAGTAATTGACAAACATAAATGGATAAGTAATTTTCATTGATCAATTAATTAAAAAAATAAAAAAAAAGCTCCCGTATTTCTTACCACTTGACACCGGGTTTGGGGTCTCCTACTAATCGACACTCGAAGGTAATCGTGTTGCCATCATCAGATTGTCTGATCACAGGTCGTTCAGTGAATGTTGGCTTGATCCCGTCATCAGGAACAGGCGCTTCGTCGCCTAGTTATTTTTCATTTTAGTAACTTATAATTTATTTGTATTCTTTATTTTTTTAGCGACGTATCGATCGAAAATTTTATCATAAAAAATCTACCGTTTGTTCTTGACATCGTAACTTTATTATTAATTGTATTTTTTTTTTTTTTTTTCAAACACTTGAAAGTAATTTTTTGTGTTGCTGGACAATTGTCAAAAATGAATGAATGTTTGATGAATTTTAGATGATCGCTAATTTTTATTAAAATTGTTTTTAATGACACACGTCAAACATTTTATTATAGTAATATATATGTATAGAATGAAATATGTAATTTATGAATGATGATTTCAAAAGCAGCAACCTACTAATTAAGCAAAAGTCACTAAGGCCTAGTTATATTATCACAATTTTTAAATTAATTTGTCATTATGAAGCATTATAAATTTATAATTGTTTTTTTTTTTCGCGGTTGTTTTTAATTTTGAGCTTGAAAACGTTTTGTGTACAAGCTGGGTTGTATATCGTAAGTTATGATAATAAGTCAACTTTTTTATCTCTTGCAACTCTCTGTCTCGACGCTGGTCAACGATCGATACGTGCTACTTGAAGGAAAAATCACTATTTGATAAATAAAAATAATATTAAAAAGTAGGTCGATCGACAGTCGAGTTAAAATAAATGGAAATTTGTAAATAAAATAAATAAAAATAAAAGTTTAAATGATAGTTGTAATTTAAGAGAAGAAGAGAAGGAATTGTAAAATAATTAGAGATCGATATACATCCCCAAGATATTAAGAGAGCGTGTGGCGTGAATTATAGGCAAATACTTACTGTCAAAATTTAGGGATATCGTTGCGTTTGATTCACCGAGTTCATTTTTCGCAGTCACTTTATATTTTCCAGCATCCTCTACTGTTACATTTTTTATTTCAAGTGTTGCGAAGTATGAATGTCCGTCTTTGTCGACTGACAACTGAAAAAAGTAAACAAATTTATGGTAATTTTTATTCTTAAAAAAAAATAAACTTTAAATTTTAGTCTTTGATTATTTTTTAAGTGAAAATTATATTTTATTTTTGAGAAAAATACACTAAAAAATTTTTAAGTAAAAAAATTAGGAAATTTGTTTATAGAAAAGTTTTTTAATTAAATTAAAATTAATGATTTATTTCTTGTATAAAAATTTTTAAATTTCTTAAACAAAAATAATATTTTAAATTTCAGATGTTAAAGTTATGAAAATAATAATAAATACCTTATGTCTCGGTGAATTATTAACAACATTCCCATCATGAAACCACGAAACTTTTGGTGTAGGATCGGCAGTAATACGACATTCAAATAATAATCTTTTTCCATCATCTTCTTGTCTTATAGCCGGTTTTTTCGCAAAAGTCGGTGCGATACCGTCGATTTGTCTGTAATTTTTTGACACACAAATAATAAATAATAAAAAAAAAAGAATTAGTTATTAATTCACTACCAAATTTAACAATTGAATTAATTAATAATTACAAATCAAAAATACACAAGTAATTAAACTAAAATTGAAGAATATACTATTTTGTTAGCGTATGAAAAGTGAAAGATTTATTGAAGCACTCACCGTTTGTTCGGCGAAACGGCTAAAAAGTAAAAAAGAAAAAATGAAGCTCAATTAGAAAGAAGCTTAAGAGTTTTAAATGCATTTGATAAGCGATAATAATTGGTTATTGATAATTAAATAAGCAAGAAAAGTATAGAGATAGTGAAAAAATAAAACATAATATTTTTATTATCAGAAGCGTGTTTCTAAAGTTTTATTTTAAAAAATCAATTGTCAGATTGATTTTTTAGCACACGTCTCTAATTATGAGCATTGAACTCACTTTTCTCTAGGCTCGTCCATTGCTGTAAAATATAACTTTAATTATGTATTTTGTCCGAATTTTGATTTTAATTAAAAAAAAAAAAAATTAATGTGGAGGCTAAAGATTGAACTACAAAATAGGTGGATCGAAAAAAAAATTTTTATTCGGAACTAAAGTTTTAAAAAATTTAAAATTTTTTTAAAATTTTAATAAATTTTAACTTTTAATTTTGAAATAATTTTCAAACATAAAATTTTTATTAATTCAGACGATGAATGAATTTAATTAATTATTTATTGAAGTAAAAATGATTTAACTTTATTTAAATTAAATATTGAATCAAAATTAAAAAATTAATGAAATATTTAAATAGTTTATAAAAATTTTTCAAACCACCATAGTACACAGTACAATGTCCATAAAAATCAATCAGAATAAAAAAAACTTACGACTGAAGTTCAAGTTGATCGACGCAGCGACCTCGCCCATTTTGTTCATGGCCTTGACCTTGTAAAGTCCAGCATCCGTTTCAATAACATCATCAATCTCAAGAACAACGAGGAACTTGTTGGTCCCGACACTTTGTATTTTGAAGTTTGTCCTAGCGTCCTCTTGCAGCTGTTGGTCGCCGCGAAACCACGATATCTCGGGTTTCGGGGCACTAACGAGCTGGCACTCGAAGATAAGACGATTGCCCTCATCCTCCTGCCGAAGCTGGGGCTTCTGCGTGAAGCTGGGCGCAAAATCGTCGGCGACCCCCATTGTGATAACGGGGTGTCACCCTTTTGACGTTTTAGTTTATTTTAATAAAGTGCCACTTTAATTACGCGAATCTCTTGAAGGCAACATTCAAATAAATGAGCGCCTCGCGCCCTTTTCTCCTTTTTAGTTTTCTTTTCTTCTTCTCTTCTTTTAATTTCTGAAACGTAATTTTATTTCATTGGAAAAATTGAATTTTTGAGTTTTATTTTTTTTTTTTTTCACTACTTCTTTGCTCAAGAGCTTTTTTTAAATATTATTATGTTGTAATAATGTGGTTTTATATTTTTTGATTTTATATTTTAATTTAAATTTGAAAGCTCCTAAAAAAATGTACATATTATTCTAAAATATGCGCAAAGCTCCTAATTTTTACAAAACTACGTGCAAATTTTATATTGGTATTGATAATTGATTAGTTTCACGGCCATCTAGTTTTTTTGGTCATTTTTTTTTTTATGTTATTAAAAATTATTTTTAATATTCATAAAAATTTGTAAAATTAAATTTTAATAAAAACTCTGTTTTGACCCAAAATTTTTATTAATATGTGTCTACACAATTTTAATATTTTTTGGATAAAAAAAAACAATTAAGAAAAGTTTTTCAAAAATTTTTATTTTTCTATTTTTTACTAAAAATTTTTGACTTTTTTTTATTTTAATAATTTTATTTTTGATGAAAAAAAAAATTCTAAGCATCAATTTTATGAGTTGAAAAATTATCGACCGTGAAACTAAACTACCCATATAATAATAAAAATTAAATCCCTTAAAATTCCTCCAGTCAATAAAAATTTGCAACCAAACATATTTTTCTATTTCTACTAAAAATAAAAAAATTTCCAAAATATCCTTATGACCTTGAATAACCCTATAAGTAAAAAAAAAATAAAATCTCCCAAAATTTTAAACTATCCTAAGAATTCTCGAGCCCAATCTACCACGTAAATAACAACAAATAACACCCCAAAGACTTTAATAACAACAAAAAATAATTATAAATACGAATCGTGATCAGATCATTAATCATAACCAAAGCAGACCGATGACGCAAAGGTCCTATTATTAATACACCTCTTAGCTCGAAATAGACAGCTCAGTTATCTTAGTGAACGGTTATTACGTCTGACATGACGAGACATCTCTATGCATATTCATAATTATTTTTTTGTCACTCGACAAATACCAATAACTCATACGGCTCCACTAATTCCCGCTTTTAAAATCGCTCCGTTAATCACCTCAATAAATTAATACTCTAGAATCATAAATCCGAAGCTAAAGAATAAAAATAAAAATAAGAATAGAGTAAAAGTATGTAACGGGAGTAGTGAGAGAGTTTAACAAAAATTATAGAACTAGTGATACAATTCGCTGTAAGAGTTGGCAGTAGACCGCGGGAATGCTCGAGATCGCTGCCCCTCGAAAATTTTCGCTTACATTCTTACACTGATCTATTTTAGCCAGAGTTTACTTATAAATTATTGTGTATTCTCAAACTGATGTACACACTCTCGCTCACACCAGCGACTGTTTAAATGATTTTGTACCTACGAATGCAACATTATCTACAGATGCTCGTATTGCCGTAAATAGGGTCATAAAAATCAAGATTGGGATAATCTAGATCATCGACATGGATAATTGTTCGCATTGCAAATCTATTTTAGGACTTGAATCATGGCTTGCAATAAGATACCAATCATCAGCTTCATCATTTGTCGTTTAAATATTACTATTACGTCTCATACGATAAAATTAAATGGATTTTTTACAATTATACCTATATGACTCAGATTTATTATTTAAGCGCGCGACTAGTCATAAGCCAGTTCTCTATTTATATTTAAATACCTAAATTGTTAACTTCTGATTCACAGTCTAATTTTTATTTTATTAATAACATTAATGTTCATTTTATAATTATTTTTTTTTATTAATACTGTGGTTAAAAAAAAAAAAAAATTCTTACGGCTGACTACTGCGGGGAGTTACTACTTAGAAAGTAAAGGCCGGGTGACAGCTGATCGAAAAATTTTTATGAAATTTGAGCGCTTGAATTTTTTAAGATATTTATAAACCGAAAAATGAGCTTGATATTTTTGTACGCCCACGCGGCTTATTTTTTTTTTTTTCTTCGTTTAAATTTCGCGGATTAAGTGGAGCGATGATAATGATGATAATAATAGGAAAAAAAATTATTAGAAATAATGAGAATAAAAATTAGTAAAATAAATAAATTGAAAGGGGGATTTAATACTCTAACAGAGTTTAGAAACGACAAAACTTCTTGTACGTTTTCTTCTCCTCCTCACATTACCGTTCTCTAAAAATACATGGACATCGAGCCTAGATACCTAGATTGACGCTACGAATAGAGCCCGATAACGACAGTCTTACAACGTTCATAGTCGCAGCGTGATAAATTTAATTTTTTTATTTAAAAAAATAAAAAAATCTAAATTATTAAAAAATTTTTCTCAAAATTTCGAAATTAAATTTTAAAATAAAAATTAAAAAAAAAAAGTAACAAAATCCTTATATTAAAATAAAAAATAAAAAAAAATTGATAATAAACCACTTGATAAAAACTTTCTAACTAGTCCAGATAAAACTGCACTTGAATGATTACGCAACAATATTCATTAAACCACTCACTCGCAATAATTATCCAATGCACTTTTAATCACTGATTGAAATAAGTATTAATTATTGTAAAATGTCACAATTTTTTTTAAGTTTTTAAAACTTACTTGCGAAAAATTCCGTTAAAGAAAGTAGTAAGATGAGATAAGTTGCACGGCGAACTTGCACACTTTGCCTTAATAAGCACTCGTCGGAGAAGAGAGTCTCTCCCTCTCTCTTCCACGCACCAGAGCTTAGTGACAAATAATCGTTAGGAAAGCAAATAAATATATACGTAAAAAAATAAAATAGTGTCAATAAAAATAAATATTATTAGTCAACTGTCTGTTTGTAATAACGCAATAATTGACGATTGACTATTGATAATTGATAATAGAGCAGCCGAATAATGTCGTAAAATCGCGATCGAGACTCGTTGTTCGATGCTTCGTTGATTCGTCAAACAATAATTATATTCGTCACTATTTATTCTCACTACTCGTCAGGCTGCCACTGATCTCCCTCCCTGATGATGTTAAAAAAAAATTTTTTTTTATCTACACCCGCTCTTTTCCCCTCCACTTTTTTAACCGCCCACTCTTTCTTTTTTTCTCTGGTTCTATACTTGTCGCCCTCTTTCTCTCTCTATCTCTCTCTCCCTCAAGCTCTCTTTCTCTCTTAATTAGCCTCTTCGTCTTTATTTTCTCCGCTGTCTCGGGTCCGTTTGTCGTCGCTCCGTCGGCCGTTTCAATCGGCGTGGCCCCGCGCGCGAACTAACAGAACTAAATCTTGATCTGGTACTTGATGCTTTCGGGAGTCCGATTCGCCGCCGATTCTACCTCCCACTCTTTTCGACATTTTTTTATTTACCTACTCTCAAAATTTCTTTTAATCCACCCTCGCTTAAGTCCTTTTGATCTTAAACCATTAATTTACTACCTAAGAATCGCTAAAACAATTATTATTATTTTAGACGATAATTTTTTTTCAAATTTTTATTACTATATTAATTGAGAATCAATTCACTAGATATTTAATATTTTTTAGAATTTTCTTAACAAATAAATTATGGCATAAAAAATGAGAACAAAAAATTGACATGTAGAAATTTAAAAAAATTATAAATGCAATTTTTTAAAAGTAATTTTTTGAAGCAAATTTATTTATTAAAAAAAAAAATAAAAAAAATTATCAAGTGAAAGCTGACTTTAATATCATTTCAAATTACTTTGCTTAAAAGTATAAAAAAAATTGTAAAATTATCAAATAAATTTTTTTCAATCTACTTTATCAAATTTATTTAAAAGCGGTAAAGCTTTATAAAATAAATCAAATTTTTTCACAATAATTTATTGCTTTTAAACTTGAGTTTTTTTATTTTTTCTTCAACAACTTTTATGGTAAATTTTTTTTAATTTATTTATTAGAATATTAACTTCAATTATATTCACAGTTTTTTTAAAATATTTAATAATTATTAAAAAAATATAGATTTTTTGTCTAATAATTTTTCTAAATCCTTAATTTATTTTTACTATTGATGATATGATTGTTATTGTTATTATAAAGTATAAATAAAAGAATAAAGGTAAAAAAAAATATTTAAAAAAGCGTAAAAATAAAAAAATAAATTTGTCAAAAATTATAAAACATGTTTATTTAAACTAGTGTATAAATAAACAGTAATAAAATAAATAAGAGAGAGCGCATGAGGATGAGTGGATATATACCAACGTGACTAAATGATAAAACCGTCATCAGGGGATGACGATGACCCGTGATCGTCTGATGAAAGCTAGCTAAAGGAAATCCCAAATAAAAGTAAAGCTTAATTTGAGTAGATCTAAAAATAATAATAACTCGAAAAGCTAACTAAGAGGAAGACAATTGTTGATCACCAGTTAACAATCCGCGTGATACTCATACTCATAGTCATACGCTCAAGAGTAATGTGACCAGTTAAGTGTATCTGAATAGTATAGTAGTTGTTACTCGACTATTGGCCTTGTCTCTCTTTTATTTAAGTTCAGAAAATAAACTAACCGTATGTACCCGCGGAATTTTCATGTATTTTCATTTATAGCATCAGGATGCTGGTGAGTGTACAGGTATAACGTTGCCCAGTCGTAATACCCGCCCACGCTTGTTCTAATTGCACTCCCGCGCGAACCACCACCCCGACAATGTCAAAGATTCCTGATAAGTCATCTCAGACGCTCATTCATTCTTCTTTTTATTTAAACGATTTTGACAACATTTTACACTTTTTTTTTTATTTTTTACATAAATACATAATATTTATTTTTTCATAACAGTGTGATGAAATTATTTTTTTTTTTTTAATACTTGCTCAAAAAATATTCTTTTTTTCTCATT